TAACACTAAACGAATCTTTCTGATATAAAATTTATAATTAAATTAGGCGTCTCGGATTCTTTAACGCTATAAGTTTCTGATGATTTCGAATCACCTAGAGCAACAATACCTATTTTTCCACTGACTAATCCTCAGTCAACACTATAACTAGTTAAACATAATAGTTCCAGGATATCGTCATAAAGCATTGTCATGACTTGACAATCACGTAATATGATTGATAAAATTAATGAAACTATTAACAAAATCGATTAGCAAGTTGACTTATAATTATCACTAGTGTTGTTTTTTCTTTTATCTTCATTCACTACAGATGATTACAGTAGGTTTCTCTATAAGTTGCTCATTCAGTAAATATCTCAAAACCTTGTCAGTCTAATTGATGGTATAGCGACACAATCATGCATGCAAATAATCAGTATAAGCAGTCGAGCAAATCTCCTGCAAACTGAAAACATCAATGTCGAATTTACCCCCACACTGACTAAGGTTCAAGCCATTATCATAGACATGAGTTGGGAGTGTACTCCCCTTGGTTACAACTTATGTTCTCCCTGATAATCACATGAGCATCACTTACCATTAATCATCTTGTAAAAACTTATTTAGCTAAATACATCTTGCAATACCACATCACTTCGTAATATGACACAGGCCTAACTGATTTTAATAACTTAAAACCACTATATCTCAATTAAAACGAATTCCGCCTTATTATAAACTGCATACTTGCAACTAACTTGTATGCCCAATCAGCCAGCAAGTATAAATATAAATAAATAGTCTGCCACAGATCAGAACATTGAGTCTAGAGCATGTCTCTTACGAATACACTCATGTTTAACGATTTGTTCCCAGCTATCTGTCCAAAATCCATACAATTATCACTTACGTATTTAAATTTTGTTTTGATAAACATTCATGTGTATTAGCAGTATTACTAAATTCTATCACGGTCAAGTAAAAATGAGGTTGAGAAAATCTACCCGTAACTAAATAAACCGTATCAAACTGACTGGAACACTAGTTGGAATTCTTCTCCACGGTATACTTTTGTTCCTTCAGTTAGCCTACTAATACAGATGCAATTGGAATTCAACTCTTATGGACAACTTACCGGCATAATCGTTATCTGATTTCATAATTTAAACCAAAACTAATACCAATATTAACACTTCTACAATATTCATTATTTTAATATTTCTAAACACAAAATAATTACTGCCTATAAGTTAAGTTATTAACGCGCATCGTTTTATTATTATTATTATTATTGTAATCCCATTTTTATAGTTCAAATAATCTTCAACCAAATTTTCATTTTAAGCGTGTTAATCATGAAAGCAGATATTTTAAGATTATTACATGTATTTCCCGACCAGATGCTGCCGTCTTTTGGATATATCTTTCAGCTTATCAATACCTGGAGGATCCTTATTACCCTTGGTAACCACCGGCGCGCGACGATCCCATCCAATTTGGTATCGAACCAACATCACATTGATTCTGATGGGAGAGTAGTGTAGTGGCATTGGACAATAGCCACACAATCCACAAAGCTGTGAACACGAGACTACTCAGAAAATAGATATTCAATATTTAACTCGGGGAAATACCTAACAATGGAGAAGGCGCAGAGAATGAATTGAATGGACTGAGTTGATCGAGTGGCATGGCTCGGCCATGCAGGCGTGGTCCCTGCTGGATGTTATCTTATATCTCCTATTCATATTAAATATATTGTTCTTTCTCTAGCCTAACCTTGTTCTACATCATGTATTGGTAATTGATACCATACAGTGAGTTGGTGTAGTCGATGGTGTGACTTCCACGTAAGATCTTATAGATTAGGCAGTTATGTCATGACAAATCTACAATTTTAGGATTAGGTCTATTATTAGAGCAGTACTAATATCATAGTAGACCATAATTCTACAGTCCTTATTGGTCCTATGTCCTACGAGCCCTTCCACTTGAGTCCAGAACAAGATACCAGCTTCCGAATCAGAGCAGATCGTTTATTTCAGGCATACTTGGTTTATATATCAATCATACAGACCGCAACGTACCATAAAATAGGAAATAATATTTGTACACAAATAAGCCCAAAAAGTGGCTGCGAATGTGGGAGGCAGTAGTTAATAAACTGAACATAACTTAAGAACCGTAAATCGTACAATAATAAATTATAGGCCAAAATAAAGCTTGTCATAAGAGGGATATAAATATACATAATGTAATTGTTGAGTAGTTATACAATAAGAATATTTATAGAATATTAGTCCATGAATAGTCCTCGGAAGTTACCTGTAATTTAATCTCCACTCGGATATAACAGGGGTCGACTCTTAACCAACCAACCTGAGCTGTTACAGATGTACTTAAGGCTCTTATCACCTTAGACATAGAAAAGTCGACAGGGCCAGATGAACTACACCCCAAAATCTTGAGACATACTGCAAAATATATCACATTCCCACCTATTGTGATATTCAGTATGTTACTTCACCAAGGTGTGTTACCTATGAACTGGAAAGATCCAATGGTCACACTCATAAATAAAACAGGATCAAGACAACTTCCATCGAACTACAGACCTGTCAGCCTCACCAGCATCGTGGTTAAAAATACTGGGAAGAACAGTCGAAAAGACCATAATGATATTTGGGCAAACCAGCAATTTGTTAAACAGCGGACAACATGGTTTCAGAAAGGGTTTGTCCTGCACGACAAACCTCCCTAAAGCGATGGAGCTCTAGACAACGGAAAAGGAGTGGATGTTGTCTACATAAACTTCAGCAGAGCATTCGACAAGGTGTCAACAAATAGACTGCTATTAAAGCTAGAAAAACTTGGTATTGCTGGTACTGCTGGATTGCTCTTTAAAATTCATTGAGGATTTACCAGTAAGTCGTAGACAGAAAGTAAGAATAAGTTTTAAGTGCTACACCTAGAGACCAGTGCTTATTGGAGTGCCTCATTGTTCTGTCCTAGGTTTCTTACTTTTTACAGTGTATGTTAACGATTTCCCAAATATAGTACAGTCCGCAATATTATTATACGTTGACGATGTAAAAATCAGGCGTTTAATTTCAAATGCTCCACATAAGCCCAGACTTAAACTTCGCGTTAACCTTGAATGACCAACTTAAGACAGATTTCAGATTTGTGTAGTAAAGACCGAGTAATCAAATACTTGGAACCTGTTATCAGTAGTGTACGCACCTTCAAGTCACTCATTCAAGAGAAAACCGGACACTCATAGAAGCACACTAAAAAAGGTAATAACATAGGCCGTATGGCTTCTGTCCTTACTACACAAATCTGAAATCTGTCTTAAGTTGGTCATTCAAGGTTAACGCGAAGTTTAAGTCTGGGCTTATGTGGAGCATTTGAAATTAAGCGCTACGAAGTTCGGGTTTTTAGGTGGGATGAGACTATGATACATAGGCAACCTTTGAGCGGTGCTGCAGTGACTTTGAAGATTTACCCATTTGCTAGAGTTTAAAGAGGATTGTAAATTACTGTTACGAATTAGTATTTAAAGTCAAGAGTTAGGGTTACCCAAGCTGCCAACCTTGGGGGAACTTTGGGGTTTTCGTCTCATTTCCCCAAAATTTACCATTGCGGCTTCCCCAAAATGAACCGAATTTTCCCAAAAGTTGGCAGCTTGTGTAGGATAAGCTGAAATCCCAAAATGCTATTTAACCACATGGATAAACGAACTTCTCGGAAAAATTCAAGTCGTACTTTCCTCAATTTCATTGGTTTGTCCTCAGATTATACCCTTATCTCAGATTGTTTTGGTTTTGCTTATGTATTGTTAATGGTGTTTGTTGGATGCTTTAACCGTCCAGTGTAATCGCATTCTTTGTAGTTTCTGAATCGTTGACTCACTTGTTTTCTCGTAGTCCACGCTCCTTTTCATGCTACCGGAGGCTAAACATTTATATCATATGGGTGCCGAAAGCCGTTCGTAAATCGTCTAGTTGATTTTGTTCTTTGGACCTTTTTCACTAAAACTCGTAAGCCGACTTTAATAATTAGTAAGCTGATTGTTGATAGTCAGCTATTGTGGATGACCTTTGAGCGACGCTAAATTGACTTTGTGAGTGTCTACCTTCTTACTATGGCTAAATGAGGTCTATAGAGCAGTTGAATGAGTAAGGATCATGACCCACAGTTGATGGTTATGTTTAGGAATTAGATTTGCGGTTTTGCGTCACGAACTAACTTGAGCTAAAATGTCAAGACTCTATTTGACCAAATGGGCTAGTGAATTTCACGCCAAAATCCAAGACCTGTTATTTTAAATCTGGTTGGTTCGTTCATTGATTATAGTCTCGCGGAATAGGGTTTAACCGGTTTAGATTGAAACAAATGGATAGAAATACGTTTATATATTGTTTTTCGGGATATTAGTTCTGAACCGTGTGAACGAGTCATACGAAGTGAAGACTTGTTAAGTTTCATAAACATTTTTTGTTTTAGAAGTAAGGCCTATAAACCCTAATGGTTTAAAAATTGTGTTCAGTTATCACATATTGTCTAAATACAATCTTTCAGTAACATTGGCGTGACTTGAATTGTTGGGAAACGGTCATATGTAAATTAAATGAGAGGATATGCAGTTGATATTGTTGCTCCTACTGTGAGGTATTCTACATAAATCGCTGTTCACAAATACAACGCTTCATTTGTGTATTCCTTGGAGATGAAACCTGGGATGTGAATAGAAATGAAGACATGTTGAACTATGTCTACTAACATGATAGTTATCTTGCATACATGTTTGCATGTTGGGAAAGTATTCGAAGATATTGGTACTCTGAAATCATAGATCTTGTATCGATTTCGAGATGACTGTATACTAGGGATTCCGGAAGTAATGTTTAGTCAGTTTACCCATGAAAATTAATTTATCCTGTGAACTATAATTGTGCTCTCAAGTCCTCTTATTTGTCACTTTAACTAATGAATCTTTCGAAATGCAGATTATAATGGCATTGATAGAACGAATGAGTATTCTTGGAATTCGAAGTTTTGGACAGGAAACATCCCAAAAAATTGAATTTTTTACACCTGTCACTTTGATTCTTGGTCAGAATGGAACGGGAAAAACGGTTAGTTACTAGTCTAATTTTTTGTCCGCCACTGCTATTTAGACTTAATAAAGTATCTGCTGATTACTATTTAGACTGTACGAATGTATAAGTAGCTCTCCCCTCTGTAAAAGCTTGTTTATTGTTGCTAAGGTTCCCATTTTTAGTACATATATTCACTTTTACTTAACCTTGTCATCGATACTTATAGATAATAGTTTCGTCCACCTTCTCAGGAATCGGTCCACTACTAGGAGTAGTCGGCTAAAATTTGTGGTGGCTTTTTTGTAACACCCATTTGAAATTATTCTAATTTCTGAGCAAAAAAATTACCTTGATCTTTTTGTAACTTTGTACATTTGGCTTTGTTAATTATTCCATTGTATTCCTGAGCGCTTTTATGAGTGCGTATTTGTGTATATCTACCCTTTTATTACCTTTCTGCGTAAATAAGTGCATGAAATAGACGTATCCAGAAACATTTCATATTCAAATCCTATTATCCATCGTTGTATTAACGTGGTGAACTAATAGAATATGTACGAAGTTAAATGAGACATGTGTTTTGCTAGTATTATTCACCATCGCTGTCATTATGGAATCAACATGGTAACTCAAGCTAAGGCATCCGACTTTCGGGTTATTTATTTATTTATTTGAACACTTATATATTGGTGTAGGAGTGCGCCAAAACAATGAGAATTTAGGAAAAAGAAAAGTGGGGAACGTAAAAAAAAGATATAAAAAAACAATAACGAAGAGATTGGTGTAAGGTAGTGTAATAATCATAGTAATAGTAGGGGAACAGAAGGGTACAATCAGAAGAAATCTTTCAGTTAAGGAAGATACAACCACGTTTTATGAAGAAAGTAAAAGGAGGTTACAGCATGATCGCCACTGGCTTCTATTCTGAGCCATATCTGATAACGTCTCTAGCCATTGTGTTGTACCATCTCTCGGACCCCAACCAGGGAGTCGTGAAGGACCGACACAAGCCAGCCCTTTGCAGCTTTCTTTCATACCACGACACCATGTCATATACTGACCACCTCCGCTTTCTCCAACCAGTCCCAAAGTCGGCAAGTAATGCACGGCGTGGAATTCTCTGGGACGACATTCGGAGAACATGTCCAGGCCATCGAAGTCGGTGTTTCAAGATGGTAACACCAATTGCATTATCGTCTCTGTGCCCGAACACACGATGCCGAACCTCTGCATTACTAACATGGTGTTGCCACTGGATTTCAGCAATCCTTCGGAGACAACGATGATCGAACACAGAGAGTCGTCTAACATACTCAACTCGAAGAGACCAGGTTTCACAAGCATAGAGCAAAACTACTCTCACCGACGCGTTGTAAATCCGACATTTTACAGCCAGACTAACATCACGAAGGCGCCAAAGATGGCCCAGATTGGCATAAGCCGCTCTGGCTTTCACTATTCGTGCATTAATCTCATCACTCACACCCCCACCAGCACTTATGCAGCTACCTAGATACACGAACTTCTCGACTACTTCTATTTGCTCACCATCTAGGGTGAGTACAGGATTGGAATCCTGCCAGTCTTGTAGAAGTACTTTGCATTTCGAAGGTGCAAAGCACATACCATACCTACGGACACTGATTGCCAACTGATTAAGTGCGGATTGCATACCTTGGACATTATCGCACAGTAAGACAATATCGTCCGCATACTCAAGGTCGAGAAGTCTTTCTCCAGGCAACAGATCCACACCACCATTACTTACATTCATCAGAGCTGTTTCCAGAATGTCATCGATGGCAAAGTTCAAGAGGAATGGTGAGATTGGGCAACCCTGCCTAACCCTAATGGAACAATGGAGAGAGGTGTTTGTATGCCCTCACTCTGCATGAGGTGTTTGTATATAGGGCTTTTAGGATGTTAATAAACTTCTCAGGCACATCCTTCTTCAATAGACAATCCCAGAGAACAGTTCTGTCCAACGAAACGAAGGCAGCCCTGATGTCAAGAAACACTACGATTGTTGGCCCTTAATAAGTATGACGGTGTTCTAACATTTGGCGGAGGGTGAAGATATGATCAATACATCCTCGACCAGAACGAAACCCAGCCTGCTCCTCGCGAGTCAATCTTTCTCGGGTTTTGAACAACCTACGAAGTATGACGGAAGCCAATAGCTTGGACACAATCGGAAGTAGACTTATCCCCCGATAGTTGTTACAGGAACGACATGAACCTTTTTTAAATATAGGGACAACTGTCGACTCATTCCATGACGTTGGTACACTCTAGTTCCCAGACGTTTGTAAACAACGTCGTCAGTCCCTTAGTCAGAAAGTCACCACCATCTTTAAAAAGAGTCGAAGGTAAGTCATCTGGACCAGGTGATTTGTAGCGCTTCAAGAGTTGGAGTTCCTTGCGGACTTCCGCCTCATTTGGTGGATCAATCGTCACCGGCCATGGAGGGCAGGACAGTCTGACCGATGTTGCCGGAGCAGCAGGCCAGTTGAACTGTCCTTCGAAAAATTCTGCCCATCGTCCAAGACGTCGATGGATGTTAGTGATTGGCATCCCGTCATCCTCACAGATTGTTTCGCTCACACTAGACTTCGTGCTGCCAGTGGCTCGGACGAGTTGGAAGAGCTTCCGGTAGTTACCAGATGCAGCTGCTGCTTCTAGCTCATTAGCACGCTCCGACCACCAGGCTTCTCCGTCCTTACGCGAGCTTTGCCCAATTTCCTTACGTAACAACCTTCGTTTGTGGTCAAACTGACGGTCACCCGTAGTAGACCGACGGGCTTCAATGAATTGTAAGGAATCAGAAGAAACCCAATGCTTATAAGCGGGACGTTTCGCTAAACCGCAAGCGGCCTTACTCGCCATTTCGATGGCGTCATGAAGTTGCAACCAATGCTCATCTATACTTTTCGGTGGAATGGTAGCTAGCCTAGAAGCTAGCTTGGTTCGATACTTGCAACAGAAGTTGCAACCAGCTTGCTAACATCAATCCTTTGGTGGGGGTCACTTCGTTGTCCACTGAAAAGTAAGATAAGATTGGCACAGACCAGGGCATGATCAGAGTCCAGATAGGTACTCCGAAAGGAGCGACAGTCTTGTACACAACCACGCCAGCGGTAGCTGATCGCGATGTGATCAATCTGAGTCCAGGCTTGGGATGCAGAGGGAGGACGCCAGGTGGCACATCGGCGATGACTGTGCCGAAAGTTAGTGCTAGCCAGAAATAGGCTGTGGTCTGTGCACAGTTGCAGTAGACGGTCCCCGTTATCTGTCCTGCGACTAACAAGTCCCCATCGGCCACCTAAACGACTCTCTTCTGTGCCTAGACGCCCGACCTGAGCATTCAAGTCTCCGGCTAGTACTACAATATCTGTCGAACGCACTTTCTGGAGAAGAACAGATAACTGGTAATAAAACTCATCCTTGATTGCATCCGGGTTGCAATCTGTCGGGGCATAGGCGGAGATGACGAAAAGACATCGTTTCTCACGCCGATTTCTTCCCACTTTGATGGAACTTTCTGATCTAACAGCACATAACCGACTGTTAATGGGGATCCAATCGATTAGTGCTGCCTCAGCTCTAGCGCTTAGTGCGACACCAACGCCAGCAAGACCAGACGAAGATGCCACAGGGTCCCCGGATAAGCGCACGTGAAACAAGCTTTTCGAAGCGACAGATGGAAATCGAATTTGTAGTACCTCGCCAGAGTCTTGAATACAGGTCTCGGATAGACAACAAACATCAATATTAAGACTTTCCAAAGACATAGCCAGCCCTATCTGTTGTCCGACCTGCATAAATGTGCGAACGTTGAAGGCAGCCAGTTTGAATGGTGCACGCGGTTTCAGAAAAACTGCTTCAGTACTCATATTCGGTGGTAACATACAACTTTCAACCAGACAGTGACTCGAGAACGTTTAGATAGAGTCGAATTTCCACCATAGACGAGCTGCTGTATAAGTCGAAAAAAATAAGTATAGAAAGAGTAGTAATAAAAGAGGGTGAATAATGACGTAGTAAATAATAATAATAATAGTAATAGCAATAATAATAATTGAATCATTTGAATGTTCGTCGAAGCAAGAGAATCAGTTTCCATGATCATAGACAGTTCAGTTCATTAATTGCGTGTGGGATGCGATACTGCCCGGGTGCCCAGATCGAAGCAGGTGGTTATCTTAGGGGACCACACCCCGAGCCTTTGACCTAAAGGTCTAACCCACAAGGCAGTGGAGCATCGCAAGGAGATGCAGTCCCATGGTAGCCGGTGACCGAAAATTGGTTCATATGCCATTTGCTCCCGCAGGATACTGGTGCCCATGTGCACCATTGATTTGGAATCCGGTTAAAGCGCCGGACATTCGCTTTCCGTCCTCTCATTTTCGTAAACAACACCCCCGCCACGAGAAGGCAGTGAGTAGGACTTCCCTGGCAGAGGCTGTATACGCGCGGCCGTGTGAGAGTATTTCGAGAGGGAGGGCGAACCCACCCCGCTCTCGGCCATACCAGGGCATTTCGGGTACCAAGTTCCAGGTTTGAATCACATCCACCTACTTCCGCTTGGGGAACCAGGTATTATTTTAAGTCCTCATACCTGGTGTGGCACATACTCAAGTGCCTTGGCAATGAGTTGAATATTTTATGCGAAAAGATCCACTTATAACACGATGTAGTTTTGTTTAGTGAAGACGCTGACAAAATGCAGTCTTCTAATCTCCTTGAGCAACAGTGCCAACATGTTTGGAATTTGATTCTATCCCTCTAAATGCAAAATGTGTCAGGAATAGTTTGCGTCAACATCTGAACTAATGATAGGAAGTGGGGCATTTCAGTAATTTGGCCTGTTCTATTTTATGGTTATGGAACACAGCCATTAAGAACAGAGGATATTCATAGGCTACTAGTTTTCGATCATAGGAGTTTTCAAAGTAGTTCTCGTGTATGTCCGTATCACAGAGTGAGCGATGCTGATGAGAGGTATAGGGTGCTATATTAAGATAACAAACCGGTTGATGATGTAGTGAACCTTCATCAAATTAGTGGTTGGGACGTGCATTACGTATATCCAACCACCGCCTACCTCGATAGGCGATATATCTGGCCTAGGAGTGGGGTGGGAGAAATTAAGAGACAGCCAAATCAAAACATAGCATCAGTCTATGAAGTCATTAACTGTTGGGCTGAGCTATCTAGGTAGGTGCAGATTACGTGATTGGGGTCCGGGCGATTAACGTAACCAGTGGCTGGTGATTTTTTATACAGCTCAGAATCGACTGGAGTTTCATAGACACATCCAATCTTTGTTTTCTCTTGTTTCCTGATCACCCAAATCTCGTAAATTGTCTTCTTTTTATTACCTATTCTTTTCTACTATTTTACGTAGTTACTATTTCTAGCACCGTATGGTTTAGCTCGGCTCAACAACACTGTTAGAAACTTTCCTTAGTACTGATAGTAGTGCGATGCTTTTGGAGTTCTTTATTTGGTATCTTGATGAGGTATCCCTTCCAGTCTGTCGGCACTTGTTCTTCCTCCCAAATCTTTCTGAAGAGAATGTGGGACATCTTTGCAGTTACTTCAGTGCTTCAGCTGGTATACTCCTGCTTTCCCACTCTTGATTTGACTAATGGTCATCCTAATTTCTTCCGTCGTTGGTGGAATGACATCTATAGGAAGGTTTGTGTATGCTGCTTCGATATCCAGTGGATTCAGTGGAGTTGGCCTATTCAAGAGTACCTCAAATTATTCTACCCACCTATCCCTCTGTTCTTGAGTCTTGGTGATTGTCTTGTCTTCTTTGTCCTGGACTTGTCCCTCTGGTTTACTATATTTTCCTGTTAGTTTCTTCGTCATGTCATATAGTTGTTTGATATTTCCTCCTCTCATAGCTTTTCCCAATGTCGTTGCTAGGTCTTCCACATGTTTCCGCTTTTCGGCTCTAATGCTCCTTTTCACTCTCTTGTTTGCTTCCGTGTATTTGGCTGTGACTTGTCTTTTTCTGCTCCTGTTTGCATGTTGTTGATTACTGTCTTCTTGTCCTTCCTTTCTTGAATCTTGTTCGGGGTTTCAGTCGAGATCCACTCTTTAAGCTAGTGCTTCTTTCGACCCAACACCTCCTGGCTTATTGAAGTTATTGCTTCTTTAATTTTTTTCAGTTGTTCGCCACACTAGTTTCCTCTTCTTTGAGTAGATCTTGTAAGGCTTGGAATTGATTGCTGAAAGTATCTCGAATTCGTTGAATTTTTCAGCATTTTGAAGAAGCTCTGTATTATATTTTATAGTGCTGTTTCTCTAGATTTCTAGTGCTTCTTCGGCTTTAGTTTCGTCTTGGCCACAATCAAGTGGTGATTTGAATTTATATCAGCTCTTCCATTTGTTCCCACATTTATGAACCTTCTGAACTTCTTATTCAACCAAATGTGATCGATCCGGTTTATTCTAGTGTGGCCCTTTGAAACCCGTTTAACTTTGTATATGAGTTTGTGGGGAATATTGCGCCACCTATAATCATTTTGTTGAAAACACATAAACTTTCAGATCTCTCATCATTTTCGTCCCTTTCTCCCAGACCATGTCTTATGATATCTTTGTACCTGATGTTGTCCATGCCGACCTTGGCATTTATGTCTCCCACCGGAATGATCAGGTTCTTTCTTAGACACTTCTCTATGATATATTTCAGTCTTTCATAAAACTGATCTTCATCGTCTTCATTGTTATAATTAGTGGACGCGTAACACTGGATAACATTCATTGTAATCCCTTCCTTTTTTGAAGGAAGCTTTGATAATTTTAGGTCAATGAGATTGCCATTCTGTAAGTGCATTTCGTACTTCTTTGAATAGCATCAGTTCAACTACTTGTGTGCGCGAAGCATTTTATTTTTCGTAGTCAGAGTACAACAGCACCTTTCCCGAACCTAACCTTTTCTGTCTAGCTTTAGTTGCTCTAGTTGTCAGAGGGGACGTCGGCCCCATGACTTTTGTTGAGGATGTTAGATCCCAAAACTCACTTGGTAATTACCTTATTTTCGTAATTCTATTTTAAAAATTTGAATTTCCTGTTTTCGCGCCAACGATCTCATTATTTTTACCTTCATTTCGTATTTCCTACTTGGGAGGATCTTAAACGCTATTGGTTCGTTGTATCTTTTAGTATGCTATTTTGTAACGCTTCCCAAAGACAATTTTATGCTGTATATATACGTTTGACTTGTGCTTGTTGTTGTAGTTCGTGCTTCTGGCTGCTTGTGGAGTATATTCCTCTTTTCTGAACATGAACTTCTCTCTCTAGTTAACGGGGCTGGGACGCGTCGAAATAGCTAGCTTATCTGCCATTATGTCACAGTCTTCGTTCCGTTCTCAGATTAGGTAAACTCGTAATGTCTTCAAACATAGCAAGTTCTAAAGAATCTCCGCTTTCACCATGAGGCTCCATGACACTTCTAAATAAAGATCCTTCAACTCCCGAAGCAGGGTTTAAATGGTCTAAGTGATTTTCTCTCGTTAGCGTCTTTTAGCATGGTTGTTTTCTACGATTACAAATCCAACTCTCTAGTTCTAGGAGAATTTTTTGTGGGTACTGAAAGTTCTGGATAACAAGTACCAAATGTTCCTTTTACATTTTATTAGGATGTCAGCTGAAATTAGTCTGAAAACATAATTGTTTATTCCATGTTTTCCTCAGATAGGATATCCACAGTTTAAGTCTTCTTTGAATCATTTCCAATCTTGATGCTGTGGAATGCACACCAAATATTTTCGCTGTCACAGTTGGTACATTAAGGTTACAATATTTCTGTGAGATCATTTAACAAGAGTTTGTAACAAGAATCTTGTTTTAGTTCTAAGGTGTGATATAGGGACAAGATTCTTCGAGACTATTTATCATTTTCTCCCTGATCTGCTGATCGTCATTCAGTTTACAGTTAAATAGGTTCAAGTGGATCTATTGCTGCCTCAGGACTTCTGAATTAGTCCCAGTTTGAGTGATTCACCTTGGTTCGATACTCGTATAATATTATTAATCCTTGAAAAAGTGCATCTTGAAACCGACTGTATGAAACCGCTTAGTTGCTAAGTTGTAACAAAAGTCTTTAGGTATTGATAATTCACCATGTCATCGGGTCTTACTGCGGTGAGATAGGAAGTTTTTAATCCGAGACCTTATCAAAGGATTAAGTATACAAATAAAATACTTCATAAACGCAAATTTTATGGGTTATATAAATTAAAAGTGATATAATAAGTAGGAAACATTGTTCAAATTCGCAATTATCGCTCGTACCGTTGAAAGATTATTTTCCTAGTGGTTACACAATAACTTGTTGAACTAGTTGAATTAACTAGAATTAATCCAAGGAGTAGGGTGGGGTAAACCAAATTTGATTTTAGGTACTGAGTTTCTCAGTACAGAGTCAAGTATTTTGTTAACATGCCTAACTATTCATCGTTCTTCTTCCTGGGAATATTCCTGCTACAGACGTTCGTTATAAGACAGATCATAAATATTATTCAAAGGATTGTGCTTTCCGACCTAAAGTTTCCATATTGTTTTAGATATTATGCTCGGCTTATTTCGACACCATAAAATTCATTTATTTCACTGTAATTTGAAGGGTTTTTCTACGAACAGTCAGCAGCATTTTTGTCATATAAAAATCAAAGGTCAAGCAAAGATGATTGGAATAATAAAGTGACATCTGGTGTGTTATATTTAGTAATTAATTTAATGACTAACTGGCTTGTACCTTAGCGATTTTAATTTTTACTATGTCATCATTTGACATAATCATTCTCTCTCAAAATAAATCCAAAAATATCTATAGGGAATGAACAGTTACTTAATTGTTTTACAGATGCTTTTAATGTATCTATGGCCCAAATTATAATTTATTAGAAAGTCTTCATTAATCATATCAGGAATATTATGTTTCAGACTGTCATCGAGTGTTTGAAATATTCAGCAACTGGAGAACTACCTCCTGGATCGAAAACTGGGTGTTCATTTATCCATGATCCTAGAGTAAGTGTTTACCAGTTGTTTATTAGAGTAACTCACTTCTTGTCCGTCCTTTATCATGCCAATGATTTTTTGATAAATTACATTCATTATAAAACGTCCTTATCTTCCCTTTCATCACTATGTATTCGAATACTTACTAAATTTCGTGCTCAAACTAATTAGTTTTCTTCCAAATTATTTAATAGAAAATTCAGTTCTTAAGCTCTGGTTCATTGTTGACCGAAATTCCATGGTTGGATTTTGAATTCATGTCTATTTGCTAAGGTGACCAAACTTGTTTGTTGAGAGCCTAAACATAAAATGTCGTTTAATTGGCTTATTCGATACCACTAGTTCGTTATAACAGGTCTGTCTTACCAGTCCAAAAAGTAAGATACAACAAATAATCATATATTATCACTTGTTCTGAAAACATTTTCATCTTTTCCGTATCCTTGGCAACGACGTCCAGGCTCATGGTAGTTGTGGCTCGTAAGTATTCAAAACCCTTATTATTTGGACTAAGTTGTAGTGAAACAGTTCGGATACACTACGTAGATTGTAATTGAAACTGATCTCATGAAGTTATGTATCATACTCATTCCCCATTTGTGTTGAAATAATCACAACGCTAAATATGTTCCAAATTTTGTATCATTTGTCGTTTCGAATTCGTCTAAATAAAATTTTGAAGCCCTAATTTGTTTTAATAATTTGTCGTATTGGATTATGCGTTGATCTAGTCAAAATATCTTCAGCGTTGGAATGGTTTTGTAAATTTAAGTATGTTAGCGATGATTATAATCTCAGGATTAATATATTCCTTGGTGGTCACCACACCGATCGTTGAACTAGCTAAGTTAGGAAGGTACTTATTCATTAGAAGTGGAATTCAAAAGTTCTCATATTTTTTGAACCCAATAATTCAGTTGTATCGCAATAATTTGAATTATATTTCTTTACACGTAAAAATTTTGCTGACCCCAAAATATTTAAGTATCTCGTATATAACACAGTTATGTACTTTACTTAGTCTTCCTTCTAGAAATTATTAATTTTATAAACCACGTCAACTATTTAGTCACTTATTTGATTTAAATGAAGCACAATACGTAAAATGTTACTCGTTTTATATAGTATTCAAGAGTATAAGCGTCAGTCGGTTCGTCCTTCACTAAATTTCATAACTACAAAATAACTAATAAAAGGTATCTGATGAGAATAATCACATGGATCATTTTTATTACTGGAATTAACTACTACAACAATATACATATGATACATATATGCCAAAGCCATATATATTTGATATGCACCTTTTCTGTCTCTGATAATGCACGTATGCATTATTTTTCCGCTTAGTCAACTGATGATTAATATTCATTCTTCTAAAACGAGAAAGCTCATTTTAAAATAATCATAATTTCTGGGTTTATATATGGAATTTGTGGTAGTCATCTCGCCTGATATTATTCCTAACGTTTAAGGGTTGCTTGAAAATTTATGGTTACCTATTTTTTCCCAACTTTCTATGGAATAAATAGTTATGGAACGATTATTCATTTCATAAAAAGTACGTCGTAGTTATAATAACGTCTTTATTAATTAATTATGAAATATCATACCTATAGAGAAATGTGTTACTCACTTAATCTAATTCACCATAATTAACGAACAAAGTATATGTGATGACTGTAATCTATTCATCTTTCTCTCACGATTTTCTCACATAGATAGCACAAGAAAGTGAAGTGAAAGCCAAAGTCACTCTTCAAATTCGTGATGTTAAAGGTTGCCCTATGGTTGTTTCACGAGCACTTATGGCAACACAGCGTGATAAAGTAAGATTTTCTCTCTACACTTTCATAAATAGTTCAGATCTATTATGAATACACACTTATTTCTGTTTGATATTTCTTAAATTTCTATTCTTTTTCGAAATCGTCCTGTTATCGGATCGCAAAGTGGATGTGTCAATGATTTTCGCGTCGTGATAAAAATCTCGCTTTTCCTTAATAATAGTTATATAGCACAACATGTACATAAAACTGGAACTTTTTCACTGAATGTTTCAAACCTCAAATATCCTGGTTATGCCAGTGTTGCTCTCTCTCTCTTCTGCTTGACGTGCTCTCATACTTGCACATATGTTTTTAGCTTCTTACAGGGATGTTGTACTCACCATTCGTACGAAGTAGTACTGTTTATACGATTGAGACGAGAAACAAACTTCTGGCGTTTGAAATAACTCGGTGGATGCGACATTGCTTCACTCTCTTGTGAATTAGATCCTTAGATCAAATGTTCGGGAAGTTGTATCCTGAGAAAACCACCTACTTCTATTCATATCCTCCTGTAGTGAACGAGAACACACAAGTGATGGGACAACCAAATGTATTTAAATACCAAATTACAGAATACCTTGGTAAAATAAAAGAACCATACACTAAATATTCCATTTGCAAATTTCCATCATTTGTCCTTCACATTCTGTATGATTCTTCCGATTCACAGTTCCTTTGTAATTCCGTTTCTGTTTTCTTCAAGTCAAACTTGATAGCCTTCTGCTACCAGGTTTTCCACTTCCTATTGATGTTACATCCTACTTATATCTGTTGACACAAGTAGCATGCATCACATTACCAGTATGTCAACCTACACGTAAATAAAAGGATACTCGTGAAAATTGTGATTCACTTATCTGTTACGCTAATGCTGAAAGTATCATAAAGATAATAGTCATTTTATTTTAATTGGATTTATTTTATTTCGGTTTGACATCCTACTTTGTTTTGTTTTCATGTTGCTTTTACGTTTTTTTTTACGCCGATTTCAATCCTTAACTCACTCAGTAGTTTATCTCCATTGAATGTCCTGCCCTTTCCAAACTGTCAGACCATTGAATGGTCGATTTTATAATTGTTTCCACTATATACGAAACCTAATACGGCTTTTCTAAAGGTGCGTCCGCATTTTGGTGCAGATCAGACAACACATATACTTGGTCATATCTTTGGGAAGTTTTACTGTATGCTGAATATCGAAGACCCTCATTCAAGATTCTACAAAAGCACTACTAATTTACTCCTCAATTATTGGTTTTAAAAGTCTGTGTGTGGGGTGAAATATACATTTCCCTCGGCTGAATCTGGCCTTTTCCCTCTAGTTAGCAGGGCTACGGCTCAGTGGAATAGTTCAGCTTGTCCTGTTGTAGTGTTGCTAACTTTCATTCTGTTCTCTGGCTTAGGCGATATCGTAATCTCTTCAAACGTAGCATCATGTACCAGAGTGGAGGATCCCGATTGACAATCTTTTATGCGCTGTCAGGTTAGAAGGTTCAATCAGAGCGAGAAGGAACGCTAAAAATAACGTCTTATCATAATCCCAGACTACGCGCCGATGAATTATAGCATTGATACAAAAAGCTAGTTCAAACACTTTACGTGATATCCGTAAAGATATTTTAGTGCCAACTGGGGGCTCAAGTGTACATGTCGGAGACAGAGGAGGGTCTTCTGGGTGGATGATTTGCACTCGTTGGTCTCACAGCATATTACGGGGATATCCTCTAGAGTTTTGTATAGATCACAACCGGTTTCTACATAAAATCAACTTCAGGTCCAGTTATTGCATATGTGCTGTGTCGTATCTTCCTTCTATATCCAAATACTGGTCTCAGGTCGACTACATTATTAATAACTATTAATCGGGTGCATAAGACCACCTTTCTTCTTAAATTACCTATCTGGATTCTGGTCATCGCTTTGTTTCCACAGAGCTTTTCTTAGGTTTTAATGATCAACAAATGTCTCGTATCCTAAGGGGATTAAAATAAGCTAGTTGGTCGCAGCTCCTATTGAAACCAAAAATGTAACCGAGCTAGTTTAACCCAAAATATGGAAAATTTTTCTAATCTAAAACAGATATGGTGCTCCTAGACAAACCGGTCGACTTATACATAACAACGTTAGGAAACTGTATTCAAATAAGTGAAATAATATAGTAGAATAAAAAAAAGTCAACGTTATACTTGGTTGTTGTTATTGAAGTTGGAAAACAGAAATTCCATAAGACATCAGTAAATGAAAACGAAAATTATTTTCACCTTAATTACAAGAAGTAATGTTGTTGCCTTCGCATTGTGTGGTTTTCATTTGCATTCTGCTAGTTAAACATCTGTTTGTTATTTCTCAAGAGTTATTTCTTCAAGAGTTTTGGATAGGGAAGGTAAATCTGATAAATACTTTAGCATTATTTGAGATCTTTTACTATCATTAACTGGCTTTTGTTACCAAGCAAATTATTTCAAAATAATTTACACATGATATTTAATGAGGTTCGGGCTATATAAAAAATTCGATAAAATTAAAAATATGAACCCTATATATTTTGACTCATCGGTCCAATATCATCGTATTCTGTAGTGGACCTAAAGATTATAAGTTTGAACATGCGTCGGGTCGCGGGTGCGCACCTCTGATGAATCTGAAACTAGCATGAAACTCCTACCCATTATTTCTTGGTTGTGAATTGTTCTTCAAATGACGCCACTTCATGTTGAAATTTATCTTCATAGTATCTGAAATCTTTTCGATAGGCCATTTTAACTAATTATCCCAATTTTCTTTTAAGTTCTCCCATGTTTCTGTTGTTTCTTCTGTCGATTACTTTTTATTGCACTATCTCAAGTTACATCATCTTTGACGATTGTACTGTTATGCTGGATTTCACGTTGTTCCAATGGATCGTTCACGAATATTTAATATACAGTTGCTAAACAGGAGCCACTTCGGCTATGGCGATTCCGATCATTACTTACTAGATCCAATATATTTGTTTTATAAAATGTGATTGGTTTCCTTGTGGCTTATGGTATTTACTGCATGTGTCTTACGTTAATGCTACCTGAATTCGCACTCTGAATACTTTCTAGGAACTCTACTGGTTTTAAACATTTGTTACTTGGTTAGTGTAACTTAAGTTGCTATTGATTCTTCTTTCCATTCTCACTTGATTACCCCCCCTCACAATAGGTTTGTACAACATTTCAATGTGTTGACTCCTGATAATACCGTGCCCAAAGTAAAACGCGTAGTTCTTTCTGTGAACTTCTTAGTTAAAAAAGCATATGCAAGATAATTTGCATTCAGTTGGATACAAGTTTCAATGCTTGTTTAGGAACTAGGGTCAAATTGACGAAGACTGATTAGTCGTAAATATACTTCACAAGTAAAAATAAAATTATAAGAAAACGCTTTAGAGCTTAATGGTAGATTGTTTCAGTAGTATTGTTTGTTACTCGCTGAGCTTAGTTTTAATATCAACCTTTTTTTCCAAGTGCTATAAAGTACTTTCTTCATATTCGCTCAACAGACAAAGCAAGGGACTTTAAAAACTCTGGATGGATCAATAAAACGTCAGTACTCAGACGGACGTGTTACAAGTGTCAGCCTACGATGTACTGACCTAGATCAGGAAGTAAGCCTTATTTTCGTTTCTTACTGAGCGCCATAAAGTCCCTTTTTTTCTTAGATGTTTTTGTGACAGTTTCTGATATTGGAATGGTTATTTCGCTTTTGAGTAGTCATGTTTAGATAAAACCAATTGTGACCTAACACATTCATCTGTGTAACACTAGGATTATTATTTGTAGGTTGATGAATTCATGGTGAAAAATAAGTATGGCTGTATTTTCTGCCCCGAGAAAAGATAACATTCTTAATACAACCAAAATCGTGAAATATTCGTTGAAGTATGGCACAATTTTTATTCATCAAAAGAAAGAATTTCTTATTTCAGAAGTATGAAAGTAAGATTTCTTAAGAATAGTAATTGAATACACTAGTTAAGAGAACTTATACTAGGGAGTAACACGATAGTCTGCTGTAGCCTACAGTTATGAAATATATCTGCTAATACTGCACCATGTACATCTTCAAAGTGATGTTACCACTGAGTCAACAACATAAAATAAGAGTTTGATTTCTAGATAGGAAGGTGGTAATGCAACTAATGAAGTTCAGAATTCGCACACTAAATACAGCCTACGTTGTTCAATAATTTCTGTGGTTGTGACTACGTTCTAAACTAATGGTTCGGCTTTTTATTTTTTGAAATTTGGTTAGATGGTTACAAGTTTGGGTGTATCAAAAGCTGTCTTGGAAAATGTTATCTTTTGTCACCAAGAAGATTCCAATTGGTCAGTTCCTATCTTTTAATGTGCTTTTGTTTCGCACTTATAATATCAGTTATTCTAATCCATATTTTGGTAGTATTTTGAATATTCCTTCTTGGAGGGGTTACTTGTTGCTCTAGCATTACCTTCGTCCATTGGAATCTCTTATTTCCAACTAAAAAAGAACATAACTATTCAGTTATCACACTCTAACCTGTGTAACTGGACATAAATCTCATTAGTCATGCATAATTCCTTGTTCCAGACAACGAATCAACTATTTTGCATGAATGCTAATGATAATACTTGACTGGGTAGGTGTTGTTATGTAAAGTGGAATTCAAATAGGCGTCTCTGTGATTGAAGTTCAATTGTTCTAGTTGTCCTAGGCATCGAAACTAACCAGATTCACTGAACTGAAAGGAAACTACTGTCTATCGAATGATCCTTTGAGAAAACATTTCTGAACAAATTACTTTACCGATGACTTGTCTCCCTAAATGACCTGGTCATTTAAAGGTTTGTGTCTTCATACCGGATAATAACAGTAAGGAATAGCTGCGGTGTAAGCTTTCATTCAATGGCATCATGAAGTACACAAGGATATAACTTCTTGAGTCTCTTATTCCGGGATCCTACTTATTGTGTCAATTCAATATGACATAGCTAACCCTAAGACCTATTAAATATATTTTACATTTTCCAATAGTCCTTAACTGGCAATTTAAGTTGTATTGCAATTCACTATCTCTTGTTATACAGTTTCCCGTATCCTTCATTATAGGCCTTTACAAGAAGCGAAATCGGTAAAACAACGTTTCGACGATTTGTTTGCTTCATCACGTTATGTGAAAGCACTGGATGCCATTCGGAAGTGTAAACAAGACAATGTTAGTTATGAAACTTAGTAGCATTCAGAATTTTTCTTTCAATAATACGTGAATCAATAGTTATACTTTTGATTTGAATTATAATATTAGTTTTATTTAGGTATTTTACAAAAGGTTGTTCTTAACTTTCGAGACACTTCAAAAATATTTAGTTTTTAAATTTAAGTGTCTATGAGAGTGTTTAACAGTCTCTGATCTGATAGATAATATTAGGTTTTGCTCGGTCAATATTCTTACGTATATCGTAATAATCTGTTTCTTAGACACTTTTAGGGGAGTTCAATAGCTCGATTTTTATATAAGTTCTCATCTTAATATTGTAATTTTAACCTTACATGGTAAATATGACGGATATCTTATCATAATATAGTTTTTTTAGGGTTATTCTGTTTCCCAATGTCGGATCATGCCAGTGACTCCGTTCTAATCACATGAAGAACTAAGTGCGTTTAGGTACTGAAGTTAAACATAATGTTCTGTTAGACTTTTTAATATATTCCACGTCCAGCCTTTATTTTCAGTTTAATTAATTGATTTGTCAATTATTTATTCGAACACAAACACTGGTTCAAGAGGGCACCAACCACATATACGCCACACATTAACGATAAAGTTGTGAAGAAACAGAGGGTTAACATTAAATGCACAGCCATTTTCGTTTTTTTTTCGAGTGAAATTTTTTTCATCCCTTTTGGAGCAATTTTCATCCCCATTTTCATTTTGTTTCGTCCAATCAAATAGCTAGTTTTGAGTTCATTATAATTGGTCGTTTATTTCTTAAAATCGATATAAAATACCCGGACTTGATGACAGAGCACATTTTCCTCCAATTATGTACGGTAGTAACATGCAAAGCACGAACTCGGTCGTTCCTCACGTTGTTACAGAAACCGATATTTATGTGTTCAAATAAATAAATAAACCCAGATGCTGCTTCCAACTCGTCAGTATGCTTTGACTGCCAGGCTTCTCGGTCATTACGCAGGCTTTACACAATTTCATTACGAAACAACCTCCGTTTGTCGTCATACTCGCGGTCACCTGAAGTCGACCTACGTGCTTTTATCAGTTGTAAGGAGCCTGTAGAAACATAATGTTTATAAGTGGGACGTTTCTCGAAGCCACAAGCGACTTTATTCGTTATTTCCATGGCGTCATGCAATTGCATTCAATGCTCATCTATACTTTTAAATGGGCTAATAGTTAGCCTTGAACCTTGTTGAGTTTGATATTTAGTTGCAACAGAAGCTGCAACCAATTTGCTGACACCAATCCTTTTAGGGTGATGAATTTGTTGTCCACTGATTCGTAAGATGGGATTAGCGCAAACAAGGGCATGATCATACTCCTAAAGGAGCAGCAACTAATGCTAGCAGCACCAAACGAAGATGCCACAGTGTCCGTGTATAAACGCGCATAAAACAAGCTTTTTGAAGTGACAGATGGAGAGCGAATTTGTAGTACTTCACTAGAGTCTTGAATACGGGCCTCAGATAGACAACAGACATCAATGTTGAGATCTTCTAAAGTCATAGCAAACCCTATATGTTGCCCGATCCGCGTTAGTGTGGGAACTTTGAAGGAGGCCAGTTTGAATGGTATACGTGGTTTTCGAAAGACTGATCCAGTATTGGTAGTCGGTGGTGGCATTCAACTTTCATCCAGTCAATGACTTGAGATCGTTTGGATAGGAAAGGGTTTCCACCATAGGTAAACTGCTGTACAAGTTGAAAAATAAAAGAATGCACAAAAATATACAAGTGATGTAGTATAAAAAAATAAACGAATGTTACCAAACGATTTTGAATGTGATTTGTCTAATTGCAAATTGAAGTGAGAATAACTTTTTCAGTTGTAATAATGATTTGATTTGTGTGTGGGCAAGGATACTTTCTATGCTCTCAGACTGAAGAGAATGGTTTTCTCAAGGGGCCAGTTGCCGAGCCTTTGACCTAGAGGTCTAATCCACAAGGCAGTGGATCAACGTTAGTAGGTGCAGTTAAATGGTATCGATTGACCATGTGCACCACTGGTTTGAAAACAGAGTCTTCTAAATCCTCTAGGTAGATCTTCCGTACCCACCAACCCGGTTAGAGCACCGAACACTAGCTTTTCGTCTTCTCAATTTCGTAGACAACACTGCCTCGAGAATGAAGTGTGTAGGACTTCCCTGGCAGTGACTGTATACGCATGGTTATGTGTGAGCATTTCGAAAGTTAAGGCTGACTCGCCTCACTCTCGACCTGGATGCCTATCCCTTAGTTTAATAACGAGTTTGATATTGGAAAAAAGTAAAGCAGGTTTAACATAGACTCATAATCTATATTATTCAGCGTATTTTAAATGTACAATATTGTCAGTGTTACCTATTCAAATAAGTTCTCAGAGGTCGGTGTTCAGACCCAGATGGTTCAATCAACTTGCTTGATCGCAAATAGTGTTTAACGTATTAACCTGGACTGTTAATAATAATTTTATTTAATTTTGCCGTGATTCTAACATAGTCGTATGTACTAAATGTGATTTTTCAGTAGTATAATAACAATGGCTACAAATTATCGTGTATATTATTACGTTCGGAATAGGTTTTTTATTAATGTATTTTATTTACTAAGAAATGGTTTTTGAGCCTGTAGGTTGCATCTACTTCAGTTTAAATGGTGGTGGTAATTTAGTTAATCGTCACAGTCTCCGTCCAGTTCATAGTTTAATATATGTTGCTCAAGGGTTATGGCAACTTGAGCATGTACACACGTACCAGGTTCTACGTTGGAACTAACTGACTGACTTAATGTGTAGATAATTGTTAGGTAATTGAATTAAAGTTCACTTCTTTTTTCCGTCATGATTTTCAAATTTCCGGATCTTCACTGGAAAAAAAGTTAGAATTCCCCTTATCATTTTGTCTTTATAGTATCAGTAAGTCATTTCCCAACTTCCGCTTAAAAACTTTTTCATTCAGGTTACTTTTTTTGTTTGTTTTACTGAACAACGATTTAAACAAGTCGATTAAATAAATAACAGGTAATTCTTCTTTATTGAAGTTTAATTGAATAACACCTAACTAGTGTAGTTATTACCTGGTTTTGCACTGTATTTTCTATTTCTTTTCTATTATGAACTAATTAGTACAATGATTATTCTGTTGCCTTTAAGTTCTTGCTAATTTCTCTTTCTACAGGATGGAAATGTTAAATTATATAAAACTGAGTTGAAACATTTAACCAAAAATCGTGATGAAGCTTTGAAAGTAAATCATTTTTATTTCTATTCGTTTATGTTTAAATTTGCACAAATTGTTTGATGGTAGAAGGCTGAAGGAGGAATTATTCTCATAATATTTTATAGTGAAAATCTAACGTTCATGTAATCATAAATGGTATTCGTTTTTATTTGAACTATTTATTTTCCATTGGTTTTATAGTATTTCGGGTTTCTAGATGACAATAAAAATATTAGTTTAATCTATCTTTCAGATTATAGGTATCAATGCCAAAGGTTGACTTGATAGTTTCAAATAAATTGAGCATTGGGTAGAAAGTTAATAATAGATTTATTTTTGTTGTATCCCAGTGAGTTGAAAAATTGTACTTCTGACGTTGGGTGACTTAATGTAAGCCACTTCTTTAAAGTGCATAAATAATTTGATTTGGTTATTTATTTACTCTGAAGAAGTGGCTTACATTAGGCCACCAAACGTCAGAAGTATGATTTTTCTACTCATTAGGATAAAGAACAAAATATATTTATTATCTTTTAGAATAATTCAGTTCTTTTGCTCAAGGTTAAAACGAACCAATTGACTTAAGTTGTACACAATGCTTTGATGTATTGTATTGATTGTTGAATATTTACATCTAGTCAACTGAGTTTTTTTCATCAACATAATCTGTCATCGTGAAAGATTTGTTCATATTTTAGCGGTACAATGTGATCGTTTTGGTAAACTGAATTGACTTTAATCTTCAAATAGTCATATATTTCTTTATCATTCTAAAGATTCTTCCTGATATATGAATTTTTTGGTGATCATTCTCTCATATGTAACACTATGTATCCTATGGTTTATATTACAGACCGACTCTAGTTAAAAAAGATACCAATGGAAACCAAGAAACAATGAACAGTTGCCTCATCCTAACATGAGACTCACGCCCTCACCGGTGTCGAAGTTAGACATACAGACTGTTGAATGCTATTTCAGTGGTCGAAAGGTTAAATACTCACCATGGGACCCGGAGACCCTTTGTTCTATTCCAAGGGGGTCGTGAATTGAGACTTGTGACAACTCCTATACTAATACACAACAGTTGTCCTGTGCTTCCCGGTCTTACATTGCTGTTTTACTAAAACCAGTTCGTTATACAAATTGCAGAACTCAACAATCTCCACAACAACCTTTAATAAGAATTCAATATGTAGTTGAATTATGGAATATTTGGAAACATTCCAATTGATATTAATCTCGTAATTGTAAAATTCTACATTTCTTATAACTTGATATCTGAAGTATTTTATGGCATTAATCATTAATAATTTTACTATGAGTGGAATTCTATCATTAACAGAAATATACATATTCATGTTATTGTTCTATTTCAGCTTCGTTCTGAACGAGAAGAAACACTTCATTCAATTGAAAAACAGGAAAAAAATCTAGAAGAAATGTCTGCAAAGCTTCAACCTGTCGTTGTAAGTAGAGTCAACTATCCGCTAATTGATTATTATTTTTTTATTCATGTTAAGAAAATTAGATCACTAACTTGTTCCTTCATATTCGAAGGTAGTTTCACTTTTAACTAAATATAAATGAAGTAAGGCATATTTATCACACAATCAGTTGTATAAATATGAAAAAATTGTCAATTAAAGTCAATAAGACCTAACTTTTAAAATACTTATTGGCTGTCAAGAATTTTGATTAAAGCTGCTTAAAACTCAACTTGGGTTTACTTTATGTATTTATCACACAAAAAATACTTTATACAACACAACACTGAGAAATAGAGTGTTCGACATGAGTAATTATTCATAGCATGTCAAAATATTCTGAACAAATCGTAACAGTTAGTATATTATGAATTTTCCGACTATATGGGACGTTGTCGTTTTACATATTACCAACAAGTGTACTTTTCAGCCTCAAAACTATCCCGGAATATGTTTCAGTATTGTTTTCACTTATTGTAACGAAATAATCTTTCTGCGGTTTTCTAAGAATCTTTATTTGGTCGTCTAAACAAAACCATTGAAAGGTAACCGTGTGATTTTTAAAAAAAACACCGATTTCGAGATCCACTTGTAGAAATTATTTCACTTTTCAAACCTAAAATCCTGTAATAAATCTAAATTCCTTTCAATGTTCTAGAGTGCACTTAAATATATATTATTAGCTTTATGATACAATCTACTAAAGACGAGTTCCTATAATGTGTCTTAAGTCTTTCGTATATGCTGATGGTCTATGAAGCATATAATAATAGCTGGTGACTTGGTTGCGTTGATCAGTATCTATCATACTGTGTTGTTATTTGTACATTAGAATTGCATGTAAATAAAAATAGTGATTTTTATTTTAGTTTTCGGTGGCGTATTGTTCTCTGAGCTAGATGGTTTGGTCGTGGAGCTTTCATCGTCCTTCTGAACGACATCATTAGCACCAAATTCAGGTAGAAGTGAAGTGTTCGAATTTCTCTACATATGGCTCACAGGTTATCCTGTAGACCTTGATGTTGATTGGTTATTGTTGACCTTTAGCCTATCATTGTTTACTTTTTTATTTCGATTGTATCTTCCATTGGTTTGATTCTTGGCCTTATATTTGTCCATAATTTTTGTGATCGGTTGATAGATTAGATCAGTTTCAGTGTGTTTGATGATTACCGATTGACCTGAGTGCCAAGCTTCTAAAACATTCTGTGGTGTTTTTACAATTACCTCTATCCAAGATCTTAACATTTTTTCAATCGAATGTGTGTCCACAGTTTTCCAGATTCATTTATATAAGCGAGGATATTTCATGGCACTAGACCGCCGATTGGCGTTTATGCAGGCGAATATGAAGAGAGCGTCCACTTTGTCCGATGTAGTGTTTTTCGCAGTTGGAACAATTTATTTTGTAAATTATTTTCAGTTATTTTTCTTTTGTCATTTGGTTGGCATAGGACTGATTGAAGCTATTTTGTTGGTCTGTGTGCTACATCTATTCTAAAAGACCTCAACACTCTCGTAATTTCTGATATGTCTTTTATGTATGGTAGGATGATCCGTCTGTTGGTTTCTGTACTTGACTTGTTTCTGCTGATACGTTTGGTTGGTATTTTTTGATAAAATTGATTCGGTAAACGTTCCTTTGAATGATAGTCTCTAGATATCTTTTTTCATTTTTCCGCGATGCAGGTGTGTAGCAGTGTCTCCTCGTTCCTTTGAATAAAGTTTGTACGCAGTTAATTGTGTGAGTTCTTGGATTGTTGCTACTGTGATTGAGAATTTGAAATGTGTGGACCGGCTTCCGGTATACTTGAGTCTCCAGTTTTCTTGTGTTGGTTCTGCTGATTGATACATCTAAGAACTATAGCTTGTTGATTGGCCCTCGTTCCATTGTGAATTTTATGTCATCGAAGACGTTGTTGACCAGATTGTGTTTTCCAGCTCGTATTTTTAGACGATGACGAATGTGTTGTGTTTATAACTATACAAAGCTTACATATTGATGAAATTCAGTATGAAGATTTATCACAGCTTGCAAGAAGTCTATCACAGTTTATCGCAGTTGACTTCAGTTGGGACTAGAAGTTATTCTTTATTCACAGACGAGTCTTGTCCATTACCGAGATGTCGTTCATAGTCATACGACTTGTCTTGTCATTTCATCGGTTTTTTCTGTAACTACACTTCTCATTTAGCTAATATTATTTACGTTAGAATTTTTAAGGGATTAAGAGGTATTTTGATAATTCTACTTTGTTGACTAATGCTATGTTCGTAGGCACAATTCAACATTGCTACGCAAACTATCCTTTTGATCTGAAACTGAGATAATAACTTGAGTGGTTTCAAATCTTGGGGTAAACATGTTTCGATGTGGTGTACTCGGTTTAGGAGTGTTCAGCGATTGGAGGGTAGACCGTTTCTTGTCAATATATAGCTATTGGATTCACGATGACTTTTGACATATATATTTGTACATTCATAACAGAATAGGACTCGCTTTAGAATTCAGTACTGTAAAAGTTTGAAAAATCGTTCGTTTATAAGAACACTATAATGTTCTTCCCGGAATGTTCCTTTCCTATCCTTTAAATGAGATTGTTTTGCTTAGTTTTGACACCTAGGAAAGTTTATAATGAAGTGTTCGGTTTACATTTTACATACCAATAAATTTCATTTAATTACAGTCGATACATGATTGAAGCTAACCCCCTCCAAAGTTTATTTTAAAATTGAACGGGTAACTCTTAAGCCGTGACCAGTGGAGTTCAACTGTGTCGGGTGTGAGGCAGTTACTCACCGAAGACAATGGAAAATGGTCGTGCAGTTTCGTGAACTGGTTAAAGTTGGACGCTAACACAACTCCGCCTGAAGTCCCTCCGGGGGCTACTGCCTGTCCCAAGCCCGGATAAAGAAGGAGGGTTGGGCATAGGGTTAGCGTCCCCATCCCGTAGAAAACTAACTCTCTAATAAAACGCTAATCAGAAAAAAATATTTCAAACGATTTAAACTCTGTCCCGGGAGTCAGGCCTTCGTTTAGAAGAGTTATGACGCCTCATGATGAAAGCTGAATTCCTTCGGAAGTTACGAGGCCGATGCCCCTTCTGACAACCAGAGCAACCATTTATTTAGGTACATGGAGTGTTCGTACAATGTGGGACACCGGGAGAGCCTTCCAAATTGCTGCAGAAATGAGGAGATACAACCTAGAGGTGCTTGGGATCAGTGAAACACATTGGACGCAAGTTGGACAACAACGACTAGCTTCAGGGGAGCTTCTTTTATACTCCGGCCATGAAGAAGGAAATGCTCCACATACACAAGGAGTTGCATCGATGCTGTCCAAACAAGCACAAACGACACTTATAGGATGGGAATCTCATGGACCAAGGATCATCAAAGCCTCCTTCAAAACAAAGAAAGAGGGCATTTCAATGAACATCATCCAATGCTATGCGCCTAACAACGACTACAATGAAGACGCTAAAGATCAATTCTACAATAGGCTGCAGTCAATCATCGAGAAGTGCCCAACAAAGGACCTGACCATTCTGATGGGAGATTTCAATGCCAAGGTTGGAACGGATAACACTGGATATGAAGACATCATGGGATGACACGGACTGGGGGAAAAGAACGAAAATGGTGAAAGATTTGCAAACCTATGTGCCTTCAATAAGCTGGTCATAGGCGGCACCATATTCCCACATAAACACATACACAAAACCACATGGACTTCACCGGATCACACCACGCAAAACCAAATCGACCATATTTGCATCAACAAAACGTTCAGGAGGACTATAGAGGACGTGAGAACCAAGAGAGAAGCTGATATAGCATCAGATCATCACTTGGTGGTCGTCAAGATGAAATTGAAACTCAAGAAGCACTGGACAACGGGGCAGACAGTATCACAAAAGTTCAATACGGCCTTTCTCCGGGATACTAACATACTCAACAAATTCAAGATAGTCCTCAGCAACAAGTTCCAGGCCTTTCATGATCTACTCAATGCAGAAGGAACTACTGTGGAGAGCAACTGGAAGGGGATCAAGGAGGCAATCACTTCAACATGTCATGAGGTCCTGGGTCACAAGAAGCACCACCACAGGGAATGAATCACTGTTGATACACTGGATAAGACTCAAGAAAGGAGGAACAAGTAAGCAGCAATCAATACCAGCCGAACAATAGCAGAAAAAGCCAAGGCACAAGCTGAATACACAGAAGTAAACAAACAAGTGAAGAGGAGCATCAGGACTGACAAACGTAAATATGTGGAAGATTTAGCAACGACGGTGGAAAAGGCTGCAAGAGAAGGAAACATGAGACGACTGTATGACACGACAAAGAGACTCTCTGGAAATCGCCGTAAACCAGAACAACAAGTGAAAAGCAAGGAAGGCGAGGTAATCACCAACATTGAAGAACAACGAAACAGGTGGATAGAACACTTCAAAGAATTCTTGAATCGACCAGCTCCACTGAACCCACCCAACATCGAAGCAGCGCCCACGGACCTCCCAATCGATGTTGGCCCACCAACAGTTGAAGAAATCAGCATAGTCATCAAACAAATCAAGAGTGGCAAAGCAGCAGGACCAGACAACGTTCCGGCAGCGGCACTGAAAGCAGACGTAGCGGCAACTGCAAGGATACTCCACATTCTCTTCAATAAGATTTGGGATGAGGAACAAGTACCAAAAGACTGGAAAGAAGGACCCCTGATCAAAATACCGAAGAAAGGCGATCTCAGCAAGTGTGATAACTACAGGGGCATCACTCTTCTCTCAATACCGGGAAAAGTCTTCAACAGGGTATTGTTAAACAGGATGGAGGACTGCGTAGACGCCCAACTTCGTGACCAACAGGCAGGATTCCGTAAGGATAGATCGTGTACAGACCAAATCGTAACTCGATGGATCATTGTGGAACAATCAATTGAATGGAATTCATCGCTCTACATCAACTTCATTGACTACGAAAAGGCATTTGATAGCATGGACAGAACAACACTATGGAAACTTCTTCGACACTACGGCGTGCCTCAGAAGATAGTCAATATCATACAGAGCTCATATAATGGATTACACTGCAAAATTGTGCATGGAGGACAGTTGACAAAGTCGTTCGAAGTGAAGACCGGTGTTAGGCAAGGTTGCTTACTCCCATCCTTTCTCCTTCTCCTAGTGATCGACTGGATCATGAAGACGTCAACTTCTGAAGGGAAGCACGGGATACAATGGACATCTAGGATACAGTTGGATGATCTAGACTTCACAGATGATCTGGCCCTTCTATCGCACGTGCAAAAACAAATGCAGGAGAAGACGAACAATGTGGCAGCAGCCTCAACAGCAGTAGGTCTCAATATACACAAAAGGAAAAGGAGGATTCTCCGATTTATTTATTTATTTAAACACATAAATATTGGTACAGGAGGGCACCAAATATATATGCGCCACACAAAACAATGAGAATTTGCAGAGAAGGAAAAAAAAGTAAGGAGTGTAAAAAAACGATGACGAACAGATCAGTGTAAGGTAGTGTAATAATCATAATGGGGGAAACAGAAACGTACACTCAGAAGAGATCTTTCAGTTAAGGAAGAAGCAACCACTTTTTATGAAGTAAAAGGTTACAGCAGGATCGCCACTGGCTTCTATTCTGAGCCATATCTGATAACGTCTCTACTCGAGAACGTTTAGATAGAACCGAATTTCCACCATAGACGAGCTGCTGTATAAGTCGAGAAATAAGGATAGACAGAGTAGGAATAAAAGAGAGTGAATAAATGACGTAGTAAATAATAACAATAGTAATAATAATGTGAATCGTTTGATTAACAGTTGAAGCAAGAAAAGTATTTTTCATAATTATCGACAGTTCCTCATGTTTGTGTGCGGGCTGTGATACTGCTCGGATGCCCAGACCAAAGCAGGTGGTTATCTTAGGGGGCCACACCTCGAGCCTTTGACCTGAAGGTCTGATCCACAAGGCAGTGGAGCATCGTAAGAAGATGCAGTCCCATGGCAGCCGGTGACCGAAAATTGGTTCATACGCCCTTTGTTCCCGCAGGATACTGGTGCCCATGTGCACCATTGATTTGGAATCCGGTTAAAGCGCCGGACATTCGCTTTCCGTCCTCTCATTTTCGTAAACAACACCCCCGCCACGAGAAGGCAGTGAGTAGGACTTCCCTGGCAGAGGCTGTATACGCGCGGCCGTGTGAGAGTATTTCGAGAGGGAGGGCGAGCCCGCCCCACTCTCAGCCATACCAGGGCATTTGGGTGCCGGGAGATTGTAAAAACCTTTACATATCTGGGCAGCATCATCGATGAACACGGTGGATCTGATGCAGATGTGAAGGCGCGGATCGGCAAAGCAAGAGCACCATATTGACAACTGAGAAACATCTGGAACTCAAAGCAACTGTCAACCAACATCAATGTCAGGATTTTCAAAACAAATGTCAAGACAGTTCTACTATATGAGGCGGAAACCTGGAGATCTACGAAAGCCATCATCCAGAATATACAGGTGTTTATTAACAATAGTCTACGCAAAATACTTCGGATCCGTTGGCCAGACACTATTAGCAACAACGTACTGTGGGAGAGAACAAACCGGATCCCAGCGGAGGAAGAAACGCTGGAAGTGGATAGGACACACATTGAGGAATGCACTCAACTGCGTCACAGGACAAGACGTCACATGAAATCCTGAAGGTCAAAGGAAAAGAGGAAAACCAAAGAACATATTACGCCAAGAAATGGAAATAGACATGAGAGAAATGAACAAGAATTGGATGGAACTAGAGAAGAAGGCCCAAAACAGAGTGGGTTGGAGGATGCTGGTCGGCGGCCTATGCTCCATTGGGAGTACCAGGCGTAAGTAAGTAAGTAAGACACTAACACCATTGGATCCCGGCTCAACGGTCTAGAGGTTAGGCGTTTGGGCGCGAGACAGAAGGTCCTTGGTCTTAATCCAGCGTGCGGAGTTGTGGACGCACACTGCTGGAGAGTCCCGTACCAGGACGAAATGGTCATCCGTCGCTTCCAGGTTTCCATTGGTGGCCTAAGATTGGTCGGCTCATGATCTCAACTTAAAATTCTAAGTTATGTATCTGTCAGCTAATGTGCAAGATTTACTTATAAGGGTTATCCTGTATAATTTAATTACTAGCTTTGAACTTTGTGTCTTAAAAGATTGAGTATTATAGCACTGTAAATTAACAGAAAATTTATTTTTGGTCTAAAGGAACAACTCAACCGTTATAAAGAACGCTACGCAGAACTAACAAAACTACAAGCTGAAATCAGTAAGTTTTTTTAACATTTCCATTTTGTAGTTCTTAGGTATGAATACCGAGGCTCGGGTTGGTAGTTTCAAATAAATTGAGGAATTGGTTAGAAGGTTAATAATAATAATAATAGTACTTATTATTATTATTATTATTATTATTATTATTATTATTATTACTATCATAATTTTATGATATCAATCAGTAGAAATTTGTATTCCTGACTTTTCGTTTCTTTTATGTCCATAAATGTCATTTTCGATGAATATGTAAAATCTAAATTTTATGTATCTTGTTTCCTAGAATCGACCAGAAAATAATTGATATTTATGTTCATATTATTTATATTATTAAATGTGTTTCATTTATTAATCATTAAAATTCGAAAGAATGAGATCTGGTTTAAGATCTTCCTGTATACTAACTTTAACTGTCTGTTCATTTTAGTGGTTTTAAACTAGAACTTGTTAACAAATTGGATCTTTTTAAAAATTTTTTTGCAGAGTCTTGTGAAACTGAACGTGCTCATTTAACAGACGCAATAAATAATTTAATGTTAAACATACAGAACGAGTATCAAGGTAACAATTCCAGTAATCCACTCAATTTTTTCTGCTGATTTCTTGTTGTTTGATATCCTCTCGTAACCACTGTTATTAATTATTGCGCAGATGTTAATTTTCAGCTTTACTATACCATTCAGAAGATTCAGACAATACAATATTGTCTGTTTGTAATCTATATGTACGTCTGGACAGGCTATAACCAGTCAGGTTGTATGCTTGAAATCCCGATATCAACTACTGAACATTCTCGTAGTATATCTAGCCTCCTCCAATTTTTGTGATCTAAGAGTTAGCGTACAAATATTTGTTTGTTTGTTAAGCACCATTTAAACTATTTACAGAGAACCCAATCTTTTCATTATCTTTTCGAAATTGAACTACCGTCGAATCGCTAAGTTAATATGTAGTGGTCTATCCTTCCCATCTTAGTCAATAATGGTGTGGTTACTTTTTATACAAATAATGGTTCCCAGATAGTTTTGATTATTATTTGAGTTGATTTTGACTTATTATGAAAAATAATCAACAATTAATAGAATAGGAGATCTGTGGAGATTGTTGAATTTTATAGTTCACACCATGAACTAACTTTCATGCACACTGGCGACTAATTTCAAGAGGTAATCCTCTGAGTTTTCGTTAGGAGCCGTGATCAGTGGCATTCAACCATGTTGAGTGTGAGACAGCTATACATCAACACTGATAAAGATGGCTGCACAATAATACGGATTGATTAAAGTTAGACTTGTAAACCATTGGATGCCGGCTCAGTGGTTTAATGGTCAAACACTCCTCATTAGACCTGGAGATAGTGAGTTCGATATCGTGGAGGATCGTAGATGCTAGCTACTGAGGATTCTCATTTTAAAATAAAACAGTTGTCCAGTGCTACTGCGTTTTTTTATGTCTGTCTAACTAAGTTTAGTCTTCTGTCAGCTGTAACCATTAATAATCATTTAATTTACTGGAAATTATGCAATTAAATTCTGATCTGTAAACATTTTCCAATATTTGTCTGATAATGTTCTGTAGCCTAGTTCTTTTTATTAAAGGAAGTGATGAAGAATTAAAGCGTTTGATTGAAGATGCTGAGACAGAATACGAAAAGAAAATTTTTCTGTTGAATCAAGTTAGTGTATTTTATCTTCATACTGTCAATGAAATGTATAATGACTCTCATCGGTAAGGGGATTTGTGGAGAATGTAGTATTTTAACAGTCGAACTCACGAGCCGATCTAAGCTAGACTACCATTAAAAACCTGGAACAACTGGACGGCCGCTTCGTCCAAGTGTGGGACTCCTCAGCAGTACCCATCAAGGTTTTCAACGGTGATCTAGCTTTGATCGACTCGTGAATTCAACTGTTAAAAGACTTATCTAGCTTATTGTAATACCATTGAACTCATTATAAATAGACAAATAGATGCACAGTTACTAATTTTCGTTACAAAGATTCAATAACACTAAACACATCCACAATGAATATCACTTATTTGTTAAACCTTAAAAATTTCTGCAGTGAAATTGTTCATATTTCTTTATCTATTCTTTTGTTGTGACCCATCAATAATATTGCTAATAATTTCACTGAATTTTCTCTAGCCATATCAATTAGAAAGAAATTAGTTTATGAGGTTTGGAAAATCAAAACTAAGTCAAATATATTTCGCTTAACATTCAAAGTGGTTCGTTGAATATGGTGTTTGCAAATGGTTTCAATTAGGGAATTCTGTTTACTGTCATGACATTCCAGGTAGTTTTTTTGTTCTTCATCAAGAATATGTAATTTCATGATCATCGTACGTCCTCTGCGTATACTCATTCATTTGTTTTTCATTAGCTCCATTTCTCATATCTCATTTGTTATTTAACTTTCCAGTCTGAAAATATATTACAAAGAAAACGTAAAGAGTTAAATACTTTGGAAACGAATCAAACAAAAACTATTGTTGAGAAAACACAAATTGAAATGGAGGTTAAGGTAAAATGGTTTGTGTATTTTCTCTTCTGAATATACTGTATACTGAATCATTTTGTGTGAATTCCTTATTCTATTCATAATTTTTGTTGTTACTAGAAAATGCTGACTAATTCTTTCGGTTTCTCATGATTCTGTACTTTTGTTGAAAAAAAGTATTGTAACATTAAGGAATAAATCCAACATTTCGCTCGTTACAAGCTTTTTCAAGGAGATGTAATCAAATACCAAAATTACCGAATATAAATAACCTATGACTTTCAGTCACTCAGCTGGAATCCAACGGTGTTAATTTCTACCTTCAACCAAGTTGCGATGTTGCACAACCGTCTCCCATTGTTTTCAGTGGGTGACCGCCTCACACCCGACACGACTAAACTCCCCTGGTTATGGCTTCTCACTTAAACTCAGACAATTACCTCTCAAAGCTAGTCAATAGTGAACACGTGATAATTTGCAGTTTGAGGTTGTGAAAGTCTCTAAATTTCACTGAAATCGTGAACTGATCAGTGTTAAACCACTATTTGAAATCTGGAAGCACTGAATAAAGTTAGACATTAACACTTTTGGGTGCCGGCTCAATGGTCTAGAGAGGTTAGGCGTTTGAACCGCTTGTGCGAGATCGTGGATGCGCACTGCTGACTAGTCCCATACTAGGACGTATTGTGACTTTATGTCCGGCTTTTTATCACGTGATTTATCCACCAATCGAAATAAAACTTATACAATCTTAGGACTGTACCAAACCAATGACGTTCAACCGGTATGAGCAGCCTAACGTCCTTATTGATCCTATGTTCGTCCACCCCATCCACTTGAGTCCAGAACACCAATAGCAGCCTCCACTATGCGAATAGAATCGAATCATTTATTTCAGACATACTGGGTTTATATATCAAACAAACAGACCGCAACGCACCATAAAATAGGAAATAACATTTGTACACAATAAAACCAAAAAGTGGCTGCGAACGTAGGAGTCAGTAGTCAATAAACTGAACATAGCTTAAGAACAGTAAATAGTACAATAATAATATATAGGTCAAAATAAAGCTTATAACAAAGGAAATATAGATATACATAATCTAGTTACTGAATATTTATACCATGAGAATATATAAATAATATTAGTCCATTAATAAGTCTCGGACGTTACTCGTAATGTAATCTTCACTAGGATATAACAGGACGAAACGGCCGTTCGGTGCTTTAAGATTTTCATTGTTGGCGCAGCATTGATTAGTTGATGATTTCGATGAAATTTAACAATCTCCACAACCCAAAATCGAAGAAAATACATCAGTACATGGTTCTCTAGTTAACTGTATACCATACAGGTCATCCAATCATGTGAACAATGTTGGAAGTAAGAATTTGTTGTACGTACAGAACATCCAATGTGTAAAGAAAAGTGTGTCAAGATAACATTTGTATGTATATACAAGTGGATCTGAGGTTAAAGAAAAATGTCACTGACTATATACCACCTCTGATCGGCGAATTTTTGATGAAATCGATTAACTTTATAGATAATGTAAGTCAAGCATGTCTTAGATTGCGTAAAATGAAGGTAAATAAATAAAAATAAATGTTTGATCAAATATTTAATCATGTATTTAGATAAACCAACTGTTCAGAACAGCTGAAGGTAGTTGTTCAGATAATAAGTGAGATTAAATGAAGTGAAATGTAATAGGGAGTTCGGGTTTACTTATTAATTGTTAGTCACCCCATGGTAACTAATTGTAATCCATCTCTTCTAGTAATACTTTTTGGATGAATCGTATGAATAATCTATGCAGTTACAGTATGAATACAATCAAGATATATCTTATTTTTGAGGAAAAAACATCTTACTGTTTATGAAAAGTGTATTTAAAAACTATCACAGGATCGTCACTACCTTCTAGTCCAAGTCATGTTGGAATACGTTTCAACTAGTTGAGTTGCAAAAACTGTATAACTCTATCTAGAGATTTGCAAATTCAGTGTAACTGCCTTATTCTAGTATTATCTATTTAATGAGTTTTAAACTAAGCTTTGATCGTATTTTTATCGTATATCGGTAGATTAAGATTACAAATTAGTGTTATCAGTTGTTAGAGTGCATAAATTCTATTTTAGTGTTGATTATGTTTCAAAAGATAAGAATAATTTTTAAGTTTAGTCTAATTATCATTTTAAATTTTTATCTCCGTCCATCATAAAGTATACTATCTTAAATTTCTTAGCGTTTGAATGAAGCAATATTCAATCGTGATATGATCTTAGCCTCGATCGTTACAAATTACATTCCCGGTATGTTTTAATAATTCCCTGAAGTTATACGAAAATTTAATCGTGTCTAAGAAATTACAATACAAATAAATTATTTTATAAAAAATTATTCAGCATCATTTTTGTTTTCAAGGAAAAAATTTTTTAATTACATTATAAAACAATTAATTCAATGAAATTCTATTCAACAAGTTCATCTGTACCAGAATAAAACAACTGTTCATTTACTTCCATGTTTTCAATAGTATTAACATTGAAGTCAATTCATGAAGAAGAAAATGATCCACAAATTGTTTATTTGTAATTAATACAAATGATATTGAGTAGTGATGAGGTTGAATCGAATATCAATGAGAGACGGGGGTATAATATGACAACGATTAAGGTAAAAAGAAGACTAAATCTAGCATTAACTGAATAGTTGAAATAAAAGGCATATCATCTAAATGATAATGAACAATTAAAAATTCTGTTTGTTTAAAATGATTGTTTACCTTCGAACATTGTTCCTTTTATCGAATTAATTGTTACATAGTTTGTTATAAGTTCTCTGAGTTAGTTAATATATAAAATAAGGTTTATTTATTTACTTAAACATAAACATTGGTACAAGGATGCACCAAATGTATATACGCCACACAAATCATTCGATTTCTGTAAGTGCTCAGATTTTGTCAGGGCGCCCGAATCGAAGCAGGTGGTTTCCTTGGGTGGCCAGTCCCCGAGCCCTTGACCTAGAGGTCTTATCCAAAACTCAGTGGATCAACGTTGGGAGGTTCAGTCTCACGGTAGCCAGTGACCAACAATAGGTTCATATCCCTTTTGTTCCGTCAGGATCCTGGAACCCATGTGCACCACTAGTTTGTGAACAGGGTATTCTAACTCCCCTAAGTAGATCTTCCGTACTCATTAACCCGGTTGGAGCACTGACCATTAGCTTTTCGTCCTCTCAATCTCGTAGACAACACCTCCGCCTCGAGAATGAAGTGAGTAGAACTTCCTTAGAAGTGGCTGTACACTCCAGACCTTGTGAGAGCATTTCAACTCCCTGCTCTCAACCGTACCGTATTAGGGGCATATATTTAAATAATGTATCATTTACATAAATGGAAGAGTTTTATTATATTTTTGATATACTATACACATAAATTGTCTCTGAAATCTATTAATAGCAACAGTGTAGAAATGTCTATTGTATTACTTATTGTATTGATTCTTTTAACACTGAGTATTACTTAATATATGTATGTATTTCAGCATATTGGTCATGATGTTTTAATATGAATTAACTTAAATACTTCTTTTTACATAATGAAGATGATTGTTTCGTTATATATGTTGTTATTTATACCAGGTGATAAGTATGCAGACGTGAAACAATTCACCGATGAGGATGTGGAGTATATTGTGCAGTTCGTTGATGGATTACTACATGAACATGAAAATCAATTAACAGAAGTGAAGGTAAGATTGTGCACTTCAAAATGTGTGGAACACTTGATTGTTGTATATCTTCAGTATTTTTTTCTGTGCTTTCTGTATTGCGTAGTTATGATGTACTACTTATGATTTTCTTATGAGGTTATTTTGTCCAACTAGATATAAAATGTTCGTTTGTCATTGGGTTGAAATGAGCTTTCAGTTTACAAAAGTGCCTGACACTTTGATGGTAGAAATTACTCCCTATACATACCGGCACTGATTGCTAACTAGTATGCTATTTAAGTAACCTGTATGTTGTTATATTATAAATTTTATTCTGGCATATAGAATCAATGGTTCTATTGTCTAGTCGCAATTCGTAAAAAACTCATGTTTTATTGAGTTTTAAGGTTAACCCATAAATTATAAGTGAATCTTCTGATAGTTATTTATTTTCTTTGACTAACCAGTTAATGACAGCTGAACTAACAGGTTATTCATTTTCTATGGACAATATTACAAAATACAGCGGAATTTTTATTTTTAATGTGGGGGATTTGTAGAAGCTGTAGAATTTTCACAGTTTTAAATCACGAACTGATCATGTACTCACTAGTGACTAGCTTCAAGATGGATTTTCTGAAGATCTAGTAAGAAGCCGTGGTCGCTAGGGTTCAAACTTTGTTGGAAATGTTTCCACTGTCAAAATGGATAAGGGTTGATCAATATCATGAATTGACTGAACTTAGACATCAGCACCGTTGAATGCTGGGCTATCGGTCTAGAGGTTAGACGTTCTCACACGAGACTGCAGCTTCTGGATTCTATTTCTGGAAGTGATATGGTTGTCTAGTGCTTCGGTGTTTTACAATGTTGATCTGACTAAAATCAGTTTGAGATTTAAAATTGAACAACATTTTCTAGAATCCATTCATCCTTTGACATTATTTTTAAAAAAAAATTGATGTACGATGTTTCCTGTTATTGTTACTTATCGATAAGGGTAATAAAATTTATTTTAACCACATCAAATTATGGTCCATAATTATTCTCTCAAATAAAAACACTCGGCGAGGCTATAATTTATGAACAAACCAACCAGATTTAAGATAACATGTCTTGGATTTTGGCACGAAACCCCTTCATTCATTTGGCTGAATATCATTTTAGCATTATAGCTGATGTCAGTTCGTAATGGAAAGATTAAAGCTTGTTACTAGCATTAATGTTCAATTATAAATCCTAATCCCTCATACTAACCTGTGATCCTCATTTAACCATAGTAAGTAAGTGGACATTCCATGGTCATAGGTCGTCCGTAAATTTTAATCTCACCAAGTGCTCAATTGAAGATCATAAAATGTATATTTTATAACATTTAGAATATATCAATTTTTTTATTATTCCTTTGAAAAATTTCCTCATTTTATAGATATTCATTTATTTAATTTTTGTTTCAATTCTTCAAAAGCCTCCCTGAAAGACCATAGAAATTAAATTTTTCAGTTTTAATTTCTTCTGTTGTTCAGTACTACATTTTCACATTTTGTAGATTATTTTCCTTTGATTCTATTGTTCCATTGAAAAATAAAAATTTAATTTACTTAGAAAATTTTTTCCGAATTACTTTGATATATTTTTTCCTAATAAAGCTGATGAAGAAAATAATTGTGGAAAAGTTTAGATGTTGTAGTTTTGTCGTTCTAACTTTAATGAATTGTGATTATTTTAATCTGTATGGTGGTGTTCGTTAATAGTTGGCTCCATCATTAAAATTCAGGGGCGACTTGGTAGGTACTTATTCCTAGTATCGATCTCTTCTGCAGTTAGCATTCATAACCCACCAGGGATCAAAACCCAGGACCTTTTGGCTACACAATGAAAGCCATACCACTAGACCAGTTACGTATACTAAGTACATATTAAGATGAAACACTTGAGATCAATTCGTGATGAATACATCACCTGTAGAATAATGAATTGTCTTCTTCATACACATTTCTTCTGAATAAAAGTATTTTTTTTTCGTTGCATGAATTCTGAAATTATTACTTCTTTCAATGTTTTGTCTTTTCATTTAGCTGCTATCGGCTAATGAAGAGAGGAAAGCTCAAACTGATGTTGATGTTGTTCGAGATGAATTGGCTGCTCTAAAACAAAAAATACAAACTATAAAACGTAATTATGTATGCTAACGTTATTATATATTTTTTCTTCTATTTGGTGACGCAATTCATTACCTTTTATTCTTTAGTTGTCTTTATATCCAAACTATTCTATGGATAAAATGATGATATTATTTCAGAAAAAGATTACCATGATGATTCACATATCTTTTGAAAGATATCGCTGCAATTGTTAGTAAATATGAAGTAGAAAAATAGAGTACAAAAGGTTATGTTTTAATTACAATAGCTCTGGAACGGAAAAGATTATGACAGTGAATCATACATTAAACAAAAGCTTATAGTTTATAGAATAAACTAGGGATAAAACTAAATGTTAGCATTTTACAAATTTTGTATTGAAATAACGTCTCAAAAAGTAGATTCCGTTACTTGTCATGGCATCGTTATTTCTCTGCTCACATCATATAGGTTCTTTACAAAAGATTAACAAGTTTACATAAAGTCAGTCATATAAGAAATTGTATAAATATTTTTTTCTTAAATTAGAATCAACGATCATGTGAAATGATTAGTGTTGAAAAACGCTTAGAAAATGAACATTCATTAAATGAACGTATTGAAAAAGTCAGAGATCAATTTCATAAATCTGTAAGTGTTAATAATCATTAATGAAGTTTATTTACTTATTTATTTTATTTTACTTTAAAGGGCGGCCTGTTTGAGCATCTGGGCTACCTGTTCCTGCCATCTAGATATTTCAACAAGTTATCTATTTTTGTTTGTTTTAATATATCATTATGTTTATTAATCGCATAACCTATTCTACTGCGTTTCTGAAAAGTGTACAGCCTTTCGTTGTCAGAGTTACAAAAAACTCAATAAGAGACAATGTGGTTGCTGGCAATATACAACAAAAAGAATGCACATTATTCCGATGTTCATTTACTGAACTGCTAACATTTAACTGGCGATCACTCAATATTTATCGCCAGGACCGACCAAGAAGAAAGAAACGGAAACTTGTTGAAATACTTTACTCTGAGAATTCTATGTTGTACCAAAAATATAATATTGGATAAAGCTAATGACAATAATAATAATAATAATAATAATAATAATAATAAACAATTACTAAAATAAATTTGTCAGTTGAATTAATATACATCTAACTACAATAAATTTTAATACAAATAAATAATTCATCTTTGTACTGGTTGTTTGAATCTTATTATTGGTGTTTAAGACTGAAATTGATTTGTTTCTTATTGGCATTTATGCATTCTGTACGGATTGCTTTACCCCATTACACAAACTAGTGGCTATCTGGACTCTGTAACTAACTCGACGATATTTGAAGCGAATGTTACTGGATTCGAGTCGCGATGTAAATATCAACTCTGCAGGTACATCCAGTGGATTAGTCCTAAACAGGACTAAAAGCAAGTTCTCGATTCCACTGTTAGCAACACTCCATCTTTACTCATAAATAAAAAAGTTCTTTTTACTTTAATAAAAACGGGTTAGTTAATTTTCATTAAGAGAAATCAACTGCATGATTTCTCAATAAGTATTTTATGGGACATTTTCAAACATGTTTTTTTTGTGATCAGTTGATGAATAAATTTTGATCCAAGTAAAAAAATCCTAAAACGAATCATGTTTACTATGAAAGCATTTTAATGCTTATTTAAAACTGTTACTTAATATATCAGTAGAATGCCTTATTATTACTTATTACAAAATAATACAGTTTATATGTAAGTATTTGAGTTTGATATGCTTCAACTCAGTTGATGACTGAAAAACGTATATTTGGAGTTATATTTAACCCAAAGTGCGTATTCTTTAAAAGGTAACTTTCATGCTCACTGTATTGTGTGGTTACGATGTTTTGGTGCATTTTAAAAATTTATCTTAGGATGAGGTTACCTACGATATTTTCAGTGTCCGATAGATGCTACGTACTCAGTACTTCCAGTGATTTTTTTGTTCGTTTAGTCGGTGGGTGCTACATATTGAAGTGTACTTTTCACTAAACGTTACATTTAGACTGTAACGTTTACTGTGTTTATCCTCCGGCATATCGTATACATTAAATTGATGTGTTCACAAAATATAATTGTGCATAACTCCGGTCACTTGAAATGAAATCCGGTATGCTGTACACTCACTAACTGAATCGAAATATGCTGAAAGTGCTGTAAATGACATTTGTATTGAACATTGAGGACGTTGCTGCTAACACAAATCCTCACAAGTTACATTAAATTTTGTGAGGCCTTCTTAGAAATAATTATCAATGTTAACTCTGAATTCTCTATTTTAGGAAATCACCATTCAAGATTTAAATACGGATCATGAATTGAACAACTTACATCAATCCATAACAGAATCGCTGGGAAAGAAAAAGGAACTGGAACATACGATCAGTTTACTAGAGTAATTATAATCGCTGTTATTTATATGATACTATACTACTTACCAATTTATTGAGTAAAAATAAATTGATTTAGTTAATCCTTATTCTCGATTTTCCGTTAATTTTAATTGATCTTAAAGATTAATGCAATTCAACCGGTCCTAAATGGAATAGATACTTATGATACTGGTCACTACTTAATGATCAGTCACTTGTAAATATTTCAGTTCACTAGAAAGTTAGTTGGGGTCCAAGTAGCTCAGTGACAACGACTCAAACTGTGAAGCGGCTGGGTAAAACGAGGTCGGATAAGCCAAGGAGCACAGGCTCTTTCAAGATTACTTCCACAGCTTGCTGACTAGTGCCAAGTAGGATAAAACCTAGGTCCATGGTTTCTTTTCAACTACCTCCAACCATCTAACAATATTTTTCTAAAACTTTCATCAAGAAATTATATTAGGAAAAAAATCAAACATATTCATTTGTTGCGAATATAAGTAGTTTGTTTACTGTGCTATTATTTATTTGGATGTAATGCTCACAAATGACAGTTCACTTTACCTTATTTTTCTTGACCACTGGCAATAAGTGTTTGTATTTATAGTGAATTTCACCCTAATATTTATATTCCTATGATGGGATTGTGAACTCTGTCATTTTGTCAGCAGAGATAGATCCTTTATATATTACCAGTTAATGCGATTGAAGAGTCCTTTCCTTGAATACTGTGCTAAACGTGATTTAGACATTAGCTAATTTTTATCACATTATCTTTCATATCATATTGTATTTCGCATTTCATTTCTTCTTATTATTCTTTCTAAACAAACTGTTGAGAAATATTCGAACCATTATTAGCAATATGTCTAAAAGTAATCATTTCATGATTTGTAGCTCTATGAATCCCCGGCATGTGGCTCTTCTGAATAACTCTCTAATGGATTCATTGTCTGTTATATCATAGTTTGCATATTGGATTTGATAATTCATAATGAAATACAAATAATTTGTTTGTCTTCCCAATTTTATTACTTTTTTAGCGAAAAAATTGCGACATTTCAAAAAAGTGCCAGTAAGTATCGTGAGTTAGAACTCATGCAGAAAGAACGAGCAAATAAACTTGAAGGGATACGCAAAATGTAAGCTGTAGAGCTAAAAATGTTTATGAATATTTAGAGTGACTAATATTTTGGTGTCAATAGTCCTGCGGTTGATAATACTTCTTACTGTTCCTTTTGTTTCAAACTAATGCTTTTGTTTCTTTAAGACGAAGTCGTCATGCTGAAGCATTGGAACAAGTTTTCGCTGGCTCTGTGATTCCTTTTGTAGCTACAGAAAAGTCACTTGAAGAACAAGCGAATCCTAATAATATTCGATCGTTTATTAATGATCAAACACGTTTAAAGGTTGTATTCTGTAAACGACTTGATGAATTGGAACAGTCAACTAGAGAGACAAGAAAACAGTTGGCTAAAATTGAGCAAGAGCGCTCATCGCTTGAAGCTACTTCTAAATTTACCAGGTAAAATGTTTTGTTCTATCATGTAAACGTTTTAGAGAATTCTTCCGAATTACGATTATATTTTTTTGTTACTGAATACAAACACAATATCCGTGATAAATAATTACAATCATTATAAAAATTGATTAAAACTTCAGAGGCACATGGGAATGCTTTGAAATAACAACATATTACAATTGAGATATTTTTCCGAGTTGGACGCCACAAATTCTTGATAATAACTAGAGGTATGGATTACTAAATAAGTATTATGGTTAGAACAGATAGGAGAGCAAGTAAAGGAATGCTGAGATAGATTATTAAAACAGAACTAATAATTATGTTTAGTAAAAGTTACAACTTGAATGAATATGTAGACTCTTTATTATAAGTCCAATTGGTTTAAACTTTTTTTAAAAATATACTTTACAGAAATCATCTACAAGAAAAACGAGATCAACTGAAAATATTAGAAGGAAAGCTTTTATCTGTACCTGGAGCAGATGATCTGGAACAAACTCTTATTAATCTTCAAGATAGACGTGGCTCTTTAGAGGAGTGAGTTTTTTTCAAAGAAATATTTTCAAACTTTTAAGTATTGACTCAGTGATCAGTTTTGTTTTTGTTGTTGACAATTCATATCAATTATTTCTGAAATTACAAAGACGATAAACGGATACTATAATTGCTGGTACTTTATTTTTATTCGATTTTCCTAAGTCTTTCTTATTCGAAAAAGTTACCTTTATTGCTTAGTATTATTCAACCACTGATACACTAGATTAGTCCCCAAAATCAGAACTCTGCTTCAACAAGAAAGTATTAAATGCCAGTATAAAACAGCTAACTAGGATGCAGTTACCATAGAGAGTTTAAACGTCATGCTCGGAATTACCGAGCAGCTGTCGGGTGTTATCGAGCTGCTTTCGGTAGCTTCGCTAATGTGAAGAAAATTTGTCCAAGGATGGGGTCGTACAGCTGACTGTACAGAGGTGTGACGGCAATAGGGTGTTTCCGTCAGATAACCAGTATAACAGCGATGCTGCCTTCAGACAAAGCAACGGCGGATTTTGAAAGACCGACCCTAGAAATGCACACCCCGCCTTATACCACGAATTTCTGCCTCCGACGGTAAGATCTCAACAAGTACGAAGTTAACACAGAAATTACTAACAAAAAGCTCGTCTGACGGTCCTCAAGTAGTTGTCCTTTGTGCACTGCGGTTACGTTCTCAAGTCACAAAGACTAAATAACCCAATTTCCATTTGATGTACCTCTGGAAGACTGACTGAAAACGATTTTGACAATTCCATTTTATTTTCGCTCAATCCTCGAGATTTTCAAATCTGTTCTAAACGCGTTTATCGGAATAAACAAACATTTAATCATCTTATTATATTCACTAAATCTATTGTTATTATTCGTATTACGTAATCTAGTATTATAACGTTTTTATTACGTCATGGGTAATTGTGTTCACATTTCCTCACAGAATTAGTACTTTTACAAAAAACAAAAAAAATTTCATATATATACGATTGTATACCTTGATAATAAATTCGTTGAAAAGAGATCCCTTCTCTGAACATCGTGTTTTAATTTTAAACATCAAAGTGTTGAAAAGACATTGTTAACTAAGCTTACCTACGGTTACTGTTAAACTTTTAACTAAGTCATTACTTCTAGACACTAAACAACTAAATATAATTTATCATGAGGATGGATATTGATGCCTACTAGTTATTTACTAAATACAGACTAATGCAGCTTGGAGGCAAATTATTGTTATGCCATAAATTCTCCTCTAGACGTCTTCAAACAATACTACTCATTATTACCAGCCTCATGTGCTTCAAAAACTGATATATTTTCAGATGCAACGAGATTGTCATCAGAAGCTTTTGCAATAGTGAATATTATCTAAAATGCACATTGTAAAGAGCAAATCCGCTATTCCCATAGGGATAATTCTGATAATGCTCGTTATGCAGTCTCTGTAAGCGAAATTAAAGTTAACTTGATCACGTGGGAGGAGGACCCTTGAAAAATGGTCTAGCACTTATAATAACCTCAATAAATGAGTATTAAAGTGGGTTTCTTTTGTGCCTCATCTTCTAAATAACAGCATTCAGGAAGTCGTATCACAACAAGACCTGTATAGTACTTACTATTAGTTGGAACGACTTTGCCTGCATACTTACTTTCCACATTGCTACAGTTACGATGAAGTCAAAAACAGATATTTATTACAGAGTATTTTAATCATACATGCTGAGTGCTAATTAAGAACAAAAATCGTCGCCGAAATTGGAATACAATCCAATATTAAGTGATAATCATAGACTATTTAGAAAATGGAAATCACAATCACTGTACTACATACATATATGGCTGAGCAGGTATACGGTTATATGAAGGGATGTTTGCATAAACTAGATGGGGTGAGGGAGTACTAATACTGAATTATCCCGGAACTTTGAGGGGCTTATGTACAGAAAAAATCGGAGCAAAGCACTGGACGCAAGTGTATCAAGTGAAATTCAGAATCATCTGAAGACAATCAATTTGTGATTAGATCTCTCATGCAGTTCTACCAGATATACGCTTTCCTAATTGTTGAAATATTTCTAGTGAAATTCCTTATGGACCTGGGGAAATTATGTCGAATGAATCACATCCCGATAGAAACTGATGCAATTTTGTTAGATGCCGATTGTCCGGATGGTTCATTATTTTTTTAGTGAAGTCCTCAATAAATCTAAGGGAAATATTTCGGAGGAATCGAATTTTGATAAAATTCTAGATGATGTCATATTGGATGTTATTTGTTTCCACGATGTAATTGTTTCTTGTGAAAGATTTGGTCAATGTGAAGCGCTAGTTCCAAATAAATTAAATCTAACTGCACTTCTGATAGTTCCATATAGAATATTGTTCACCTTCAGTATACAGTCACTTTTAGTGAATTCTTCATTTACTATGACAAATATGTTTCAAATGAGTCACATAATGTATTATTGCTCTCCAAGTTTCAGCTCAGTACAATATAACTGTCTTGAATTTTGTACTGAAATTTCTGATATACAGTGGGGGATAAAATAGAAATCCATCATCCCCAATATATCAGTTTTCGAAACACATGAGGCTGGTAATAATGAGTAGTATTGTTTGAAGACGTCTAGAGGAGAATTTATGGCATAACGATAATTTGCCTCCAAGCTGCATTAGTCTGCATTTAGTAAATAACTAGTAGGCATCAATATCCATCCTCATGATAAATTATATTTGGTTGTTTAGTGTCTAGAAGTAATGACTTATTTAAAATTTTAACAGTAATCGTAGATAAGCTTATTAAACAATGTTATTCTGATAAACGCGTTTAGAACAGATTTGAAAATCTCGAGGATTGAGCGAAAATAAAATGGAATTGTCAAATCCGTTGTGATTAAGTCTGAATAAAAAGCATATATGCTGTAAATTAGCTTCACATTGGCGAAATAACGCTACCAGAAGGAGCTCCATAACACCATATACTCACTCAAATACTTCATTCTTGACTTTTAATCCGTGTCATTGCATAGTTCAAAAATCCGTGTTTGTTGTAAAATTGTACATGTGAAGTTTCTAAACTGTTGTTTGATTTTGTTTTCGCCTTTATCGGATAAATAATGAGACATTAAAAGTGTTTCTGTGTGTAACATGACTTACTCTGACTGGCTATCTGCTAACACTTCATTTTTCAAGTCATGCGAAAATTCTCATATAAATCTATTAGACTTTGTTTTGAATAATTTTAATTGTTTATTCAGCTTTTCTCTTTTAGATGCACTTTAATATTAATAATAATCTTTTTAAATACTAACGTTGTTTTATAACCGTCTGTAACATTGATTTTCTGTAATTGTGATAAATTGTCTTTATGTTAATCTCAGAGAATATGCAAACGAACAAGGAAGTGTATTTTTGTGGTGTAAATTTCGTGATCGATTGTCTCGTGTAGATTCTGATTGTCCAGTATGTCATCGATGCTTTGACAGTGATGCAGAACGTGATGAATTATTAAATGAAGTGAGTAGTATAAAAATGTATATAAACATTGTTTCGCCTTTCATTTTAATTGTTCATGCAATTACGATAATGAAGGTAATGTTTAGTCAGATCACTCACCTTTATGGTCTCACAGAAATTTTTCAAATATATATATATATATATATATATATATATATATATATATATATATATATATCATAGATATTTTAACTTGAGTGGTCGGTTTTTATCACTAGCACATACACATAACGTGTGATTGATGGCTGAGTATACTAATCTTGAGTTGCTAGGGGATTTGTGCAATAAATTTGATCATATTTACTCTTAACTGCCAGTCGCATTTCTGAAGAAAAGCTTTTAGACTTTCAGGTCTTCGAACGAGTTCTTAACCTCGCTCCAAACTACACGTTGGAGCCTTCAACGTACGCACCCTTTGTCAAATCGGTCAGCAGGCTTCCTTGGCTAAAACCCTAGAGTCTCTTTCCATTGATGTATGCTGTGTCTCGGAAACACGCATACAGGATTCCAGTGTGGTCATTCACTTGACCTCACCTCGGCAAAACGGAGAGCCAACGAGATACACCCTACGTGTATCTGGTGACCCGATGGCCAGTTCTCGTGGACTGGCAGGAGTAGGCATAGCACTAAGCATGAAGGCGGAACAAGAACTGCTAGAGTGGACCCCCGTTAACAATCATCTATGTGCTGTTCGGCTAAACGGCTCCGTAAGAAGTCGGAAGGATAGGGACACACATCGTTGCCTTTTTGTCGTTTCTGCCTACGTTCCCACTGACTGCAGCTCAGATGATGTGAAAGATGAATTTTACAGAAAGCTTTCTGAACTTCTTCAGAAAGCTAAACGCTCAGACATAGTACTCGTAGGGGGTGACTTTAATGCTCAGATAGGTAGCTTAAACCAAACAGAAAGGCATTTAGGTGGATATTTTAGCATTCCGGCACAGCGAACAGATAATGGTGATCGTCTTCTGCAACTGTGCTCAGACAATCGTTTATTTTTAGCAAATACAAATTTTAAGCATAAGGAAAGACATCGTCTAACATGGCGACCCCCTACACCAAACCAACGATGGACTCAAATAGAGCATATTGCCATCAGTCATCGTTAGAGAGGGTCGGTAGAAGATTGTCGCTCATTCTGGAGTACCTGCTTGGACTCCGACCACGCCCTAATACGGGCACGCATCTGCTTGCGCCTCACTGGACGCAAAAAAGCCACATTAAAAAGACCAATTAGAACTGAGTTGAGTAACGAGAAAACCAAAAGTAGGTTCCAATAACAACTGAGGTCACAATTAGGTAGTTCTGAAGACGAGGCTGATCCAGATGTTGCTTGGAAAGAAATACAATCAGCTGTGGAAACAGCAGTGACATCTATTAGCGACTTAAACCAGAGAGTTACAAAGAACCAGTGGATTTCTTCAAAGTCTATCACACTGATGGATTCTCGCAAACTCGTCTCATCAGTTTCCGAACATGATAAAGAACGACAACAAATCAGATCTAGGTTAAGAAAAAGTCTAAGAAACGACCGTGAGCAGTGGTGGGCAATGAAAGCAAAAGAGATTTAAAAGGTGGCGACCATAGGGAACACAAGACAGCTTTACAGACTAATAAAAGAAACTGGAATTAATAAGTCAAGTGTAAGTGAGATTATATCGAATAAAGACGATACTCTCATCTGCTCCCAGTCCAAACGTTTAGAACGATGTGCGGAACATTTCAGAGAACAGTTCAACTGGCCTTCAGCTACTCTACAACTACCCTCCATTCCCAGGCAATGTGAATGGAACATTGAAGTAGGTCCCCCAACTCTAGCAGAAGTTCAAAAGGCTATAGTTGGTCTGAAACGAGGAAGGGCAGCTGGTCCAGATGGACTGGCTCCAGAGGTCTTTAAGGATGGTGGTCCAATTTTAGCGATTAGGTTGACTAATATTTTAGCTAAGATCTGGGAGTTAGACGTTATTCCATCTGACTGGTCACAATCACTTATCGTCCCAATATATAAGAAAGGGTCAAAATCATCCTGTGACAACCACAGAGGGATTAGTCTAACTAATATAATATCTAAAATACTAGCCTCGATAATTATCAGACGCCTAACTAAGACTCGTGAACTGCAAACACGAGAGAACCAAGCTGGCTTTAGACCTGGTCGTGGCTGCACCGACCACATATTCACCATTCTTCAGGTTCTAGAACACAGGCATACTTATCGGCGTCCGACAATGGTGGTCTTTCTTGACTTAAAAGCAGCATTTGACTCGGTAGACCGCGAGATTCTGTGGCAGTGTCTGTCATTGAAAGGCGTACCTCAGAAATGCATAAATCTTGTGAAGGCTCTTTACTCGAACACTACCAGTCGAGTGAGAGCTTATGGCGAACTATCATCTGCTTTTGCAACCTCAAGTGGTGTCCGTCAAGGCTGTCCACTTTCTCCATTTTTGTTTAACTTCATCATAGACTTATTGATGGAAATAACATTCTCGTCTACTGAACTCTCGGGTATTGATCTCCTTCCAGGAGGTCCACTTATCGACTTAGAATACGTAGATGACATAGTCCTGTTTGGTGAAGACGCTGATAAAATGCAGAGTCTTTTGGTAGCACTGAGCAACAATGCCAGAATGCTTGGAATGCGCTTCTCTCCCTCTAAATGCAAGTTGTTGCTTCAGGACTGGTCTGCGTCAACACCTGAACTAAGGATAGGGAATGAAGTAGTCGCACGCGTTGACAGCTTCACTTATCTTGGAAGTCTGATCAGCCCTAATGGGTTGGTATCTGATGAAATCTCAGCACGGATTCGAAAAGCTCGTTTGGCTTTTGCCAACTTGCGTCACCTTTGGCGAAGGCGAGATGTCCGTCTATCAATAAAAGGACAAGTATACTGCGCGGCAGTCCGTTCTGTTTTACTTTACGGCAGCGAAACATGGCCATTAAGAGTAGAAGACACTCGTAAGCTACTAGTATTTGACCACAGATGCCTTGGAAATATTGCTGGCGTCTGCTGGGATCACCGGGTAAGTAATAGTGAGGTTAGACGCAGGGTATTAGGGAATGATGGTAAATCAGTTGATGAGGTTATGAATCTTCATCGACTGAAATGGTTGAGTCACGTGTTACGTATGCCTGAATACCGATTACCACGACGTGCAATGCTATCCGGTATTGGAGATGGTTGGAAGAAAGTTAGGGGCGGCCAAACCAAAACGTGGCATCAGTGCTTGAAGTCACTAACTTCTAGTCTGAGCCATGTTGGTAGATGCAGACTACTTGGTTGGGGTCCGCGTGACTATCGTAACCAATGGTTGGAGACTCTCGGTGACATGGCTCAGAATCGATCACAATGGCGTCGGTGTATACACTCCCTGTCTTCCCTTAAACGAAGAGATTAAAATCGCCTCATACCTTTCTTTCTACGAACCAATTTCTTCTTCTTGTACTATATCTCTATATGCAATCTTTCTCTTATATATTACCACCTTTGACATAACCATTGCTCTGAATCCGGTGTTCATCTTGTTGTTCTGATGCGGTATGGCAACCTGGACCGATGCACATATGTGCCTGGTCCTACGTTGTAGCTGACTGACTGACTGACAGAATAGAATGTTATACCAGAAAACAAAAATATACCACATTGAGTAATCATCACATCAAATTAAAACGGAATGAATGTTGAACAAAGATCATAATGAGCAAATCAATCTAATTTTAACTTTTCATCCCGTTATATCAAAAATCAAACCGATTGATTGCAATGATTATATGAGACAATTAGTTGCTACCGTTACAAATAGTTGAGAAAATAATTATTTATACCAACTGAGTGATATGATGTTTGAAAATTAGGCTTAACAGTCAGGTCTTGAACAAAATGAAGAACGAGTGACCTACATGTTAATTCCTTCCAACTACCTACAACATTTTATATTGTAAACAAACATTTTAACATAAAAGTCCTATTCATCTGAACTCTGGTTTTCTTGATTTTTAGTCACTCAAGTATTTGTGTCAATACTACAGTTTAGTAAATATCCATCATTCAGCCACATCATCCAAAGACTAACATTCCACTCACTGAATTATAACAATAGAGAAATTTCGTATTATCAATTGGTAAAAAGACACCTTCACAACACCAAGTCACCAACTACTTCATTGTGTTATATCTACAGGAGAAGTGAGATATTAAAAAAGATCAGCCTTCTAAACTATGCATATTTTTTCATCTTGTTGTTCTGATGCGGTATGGCAACCTGGACCGATGCACATATGTGCCTGGTCCTACGTTGTAGCTGACTGACTGACTTATATTCTAGAGGTAGTTACATTTGTAGTGATGATTTTTGAGTTGTTTCTTCCGACTTGGTTGCTAATTATCCACAGTTTTAATTGTAAGCAATATTTATTGTTGATATATGTCGTTAATATCAATGTTAATTTGTATATTTTGTTTATAGCACGTTTTTACATACTTTACGATTATATTTTCTGCTTTACACAGATTGATAACCGAATAAAAACGTTACCTTCTGAATTTGAACGTAAAAAGCAAGAATTGAAAGAAATCGTTTCACGTCTTGAATCATTGGTTGAATTACGTCCTATAAGTTTAGAGGTTGGTGAAATCATTATGTGGATATTTAATTGTGAAATAGGTTGTCATTATACAAAATTCTTCACACTGTTAACGGAATATGTTGGAATTTTTTTCTTCCGGATACTAATACGTCAATATTGTGTTTTTCTTTATGCCTTCTCGCGGCGGGGGTATTGTTTACGAAATTGAGACGACTAAAATGGGATGCCCGGCGCTTTTACGTAGTTGGTAGATATGGAGGATCCACCTAGAGGAGTTGGAAAACCCTGATCCCAAATCAATGGTGTACATGGGCTCCAGGATCCCAAAGGAACAAATAGCATTTGACCCAATTATTGGTCACCGCCTACCATGGGACTGCATCTATTGACGTTGCTCCACTGCTTTGTGGATTAGACTTTTAGGTCAAAGGCTCGGGGTGTGGAACCCTAAGAAAACTACCTGCTTCGGTTTGGGCACACGGGTAGTATCCCAGTCCTCACACAAATTGGATTATTTATGTGGTGCATATTTATTTGGTACCTTCTTGTACCAATGTTTATGTATTTAAACAAATAAATAATAAACAAACGCATTATCGATTTATGATGAGAGTAAAAATTGAATGAGGAAGGAAGAGAACAACATGATATAAAACAGAGTTAACAGCATACTATTCCTCTAAGATAGCTACACAAAACAATATATATATTTGACAATCTTTTATCATTGTATACTTTGCAATTTGGAAATGTTAAATATTGCAGTTAATCATTTTGGTCTTTTTTAAATTCGGAATTAATCAAAATAAACTTGGACCTTAAATGTAATTCAGCTGGTGAACGATACGTGGTATCATTGATCAGTCATTTCAAACATGTTTATTCTTTCTCAATTTAAAGCCATGTTGTTACGAAGAAATTTCATACTATACTTAGATTTCAGTAATTATCTAGGAAAAATTTATATTTTACAGTATTTTTTGTGCCTAGTAAATGAGATTTAAAAAGTAATTGTACATTAATGATTTTATATTAAAACATTATTTATCAAATTTCTGGGTCCGTTTTTTATTGGTTGTTTGGATCTTACCATTGATGTTTAGAACTGCAGTTGATCAGTCTCTTATTGGCATATGTGCATCTTAAGAGTACTGCCTTAAGTTACAAGCATTGTATGCAGAGATGAACGGTGACTAGCAGTGGAATCCAAATAGGACGAAACACTCGTCTTAGGCTCCACTGCTAGCCATCATCTATCTTTGCTTACAAATCTATGAATGTTATTAATCAGAATTAGTTACAATGATGCAGATGCACTTACTCGTCCTGGAACACTTATACCTTTTCGTTTTTTTTCAAATCATATTGTCCATGTTATATTTAATGTTTCCTACTACTACTACTACTAGTAGTAGTGATATTTTGATTACCTTTACTGCTCTGATATTTGGTTTGATAATTTTATCCCATTTTTTTCATATTATGTTGTGGTAACCTGAACTGGTACACGTATGTGTCAGAAACCAATATTATTTTAGACCACTACTACCTGAGCGGTTTGCTAAGTAATTTTTCATTTTTTCTTTTTCACTAGATCAAAAATCTACATGAGGAAGTAATCCCTGCTCTAGAGTTAAAAATTAAAGCTGAATTAGATAAACTTACTGATGTACGCAGTCAACGAGATAAGGTAAAATATAGTGTATACTGAGATAATTTATCTGCTTGTAGGTTTCTTATACGTGTATCACTATTCATTTATATATTGACTGTTTACAAAAAATTCGTAGATTGTTATGTTGTTTACTTGTTGAAATTTTAATTAGTACTTTTCTCTTAATTAATTGCATTTGAAATGCTAGTCATGAAACGTAACGTCTGTATTTCACATCTTAACGTTTTACCACTTTTGTGTTCGACTTCGAAATGAATGGTACGTCTACACTCCATACATTTGGCAAAATAAGTAACCGTCAGGTTCACTTACTTTTCGCTTGTCGATGTTAGCCTACAATGAATTGTATTTGCGAACGATTGAGGATTCCTTTAATAAAAGGTAACGAATAGGAACTCTAATGAACCAGATATTTGTCATACGACAACATTTCAACTTAAATAATACCTACACTACTAGTGAAGACGAGACTCTACTTTTATCATAACGTTTAACGACCTTAGGACACAAGAAAACAAAATAAAAGCGACAACAGGCAGTCTGGTAACAACAGATGTTATTGCGGTAATATGATTTAGAAAACTTGTGTGGTTATCCTTCAAAGAAAGAACCAACATGCAATGACAAAAAACTAAACAACCATATCTCTTATAAACTGTAAACTGTTATATTTAAATAATGCTAATGTTTAGTATACACTATTCTCCAAGTGACTTGGGATACAGTTCTTAAAATCCTGTTACTTAACAGCCTGAAATAGTTTTTTTTGTTTTTTTTATATTAAATTTCATTAGCTTTTCACTTAATTAGGTTTTATATGTTCTATAAAGGTATACTTATAGTAGTTAATAATGAGCATGTTCGCCATTGTTAGAGTCATGAATAGAATGCTGATCAGTAGTTGATGCGTATAAGTACAATCATCAACTCAAGACCCCAAACGACTTGGTGTCAAAAGGCAACATAAGTGCCAGGAGGATAACATTTTTCTTTCAGCAAAATAATATTCTTATATATCCAATAACAAATGACAAATTAAACAAAATTAGAGATAATTTGAAAAAAAAGATGTGATTAGAGGAAATTGTAATATCCGTTCAACTGGAAAATATATCTTCTGATATCACTGATGGATAGAGACTGGAATTCACGGGTAATAAAATTGTATCTACTTATTCACTATTTAACTTGTCTGCAACGAAGTCTGAGTTTGATGTGTTCACTTATTCATATATATATATATATATATATATATATATACCATTCCTACAACAACTTAGTTTATCATTTATTACATTATAGACAAGTGCTCTACTTGAAACATATCAAACAGATGAATCTTTAGCAAAAACAGTACAAGGTGATTTGGCAATATTAGAACGCTTAGAAAATGAATCTTATGAATTAACAGTTAAAATTAATCAATTCAAATATGAATTTACAGATATAACAACAGGTTAGTGAAATTATTTTTTATTTTATTTTCCCTAATAAATATATGTATATATTTAATACTTAAAAGTGAATTCTGTTTTAATACTAAACTTTAAATTTATTTCAATTGGTGAGATCATGAGTCAATTGAAGCTAGACCACCATGAAAAACTTGGAAATTTTCAAACAATCGTTATCTCTATATTTTAGTTAAATGTATTGATCATCACAAATTTGTTTTCTAAACCAATTTTATACTACGTTTAGTTTTACTTTATGGCGGTGAAACATGGCCGGTAAGAGTAGAGGATATTCGTAGATTACCAGTATTCGATCATAGGGGTGTTCGAAGCATTGCTCGTATATCCTGGGACCACCGAGTAGATAATGCAGTTGTTAGGAAACGTGTACTAGGTAAGGATGACAAATCAATTGAAGAAGTAATGAAACTTCATCAGTTGAGATGGCTGGGACATGTGTTACGTATGCTCAACCACCGACTACCCCGACGTGCAATGTTTTATGGTGTAGGGTTGGGCAGACCAAAACATGGCACAAATCCATGGAATCACTGACAAGTGGACTGAACCATGTTGGTAGATGTAGACTACCTGTTTGGGATCTGCGAGACGATAGCAACCGATGGCTAAAGACCTTGAATGACATGGCTCAAAATCGTTTGCAATGTTGCAGGTGCATGTATTCTTAGTGTTCTCCCAAATTCTAATCTTCTGAATTGTTCATGTCACTTTTTTTCTCTTTCCAAATTTATTTCATTGTATTATACTCCTTAAATAACATATTCAGACCCTAATGTTTCCGATATATGTGGTATGGCGACTCGAACTGATGTACGTACGTACGTACGTACGAAGTTCTATGTTGTTGCTGACTGACTGATTGACGTTTGGTTTTGCCGTAGAAAAAATAGGTGTTACGAGTTTGATTTTCTGTCATAACTTCATATATATTATAAATCTGTTAAATAATAGTAAATAGAATATTTGCTTTCACAGACAAACTTACATGATTAATTATTCGTTATAGTAAATAATTTGTATACTTTGTCGTGTCATTTTGCACTAAATAACATTCAGCTGTTTTTTACCAAGCAGATTCTCAATTAATTGATGGGTTGCAAGAGGAAAGAAAGTCGTTACGTGAGTCATTGTAAGTGATTGTATTCAGTTATCGTTCATATCTTTGTTTGTTTTTGTAAACATTTCTTTCGTTTAAGTGTAGAATTAAAATTTATCATTTGATCATGTATGATGATATTGTTGATAGTTTATTGTAACGTACAAGCATACCATTTTAAAAAACCATGATATTGTATGAATATTTATTTAGAATGATTATAAAACGAGTTTTGGCCAATCTCTATAAGGGTAACTTCAATACCTAGAGATCTAGTTAACAAACGTAAGTACTAATCTCATATACACGAAATAAAAACACTATGGCTAATGTCAACCAGCTGTGTGAATATATGTAACCAATTGGTGATTTCTACTATTTATTTCTGAAGACCTATTATTATTGATTATTAGAAAGTAAATAACATCCCATTGAATATTAACTATATCCTCTTTTGTATCAAACGTCACTTTGATTCCGTGCAGAGAAATCCCATTCGAAAAAAGAAGGTCCGTAAAATACTTCATAAACAACAAAGATTGTTGTAGAAATTATTTGAATTGAAATAATTTTCTTTTTATCCAAAGTTTGTCTAAAGGGTGCAACATGAGTCCTGCTGTTGCTCATGTAGCACTCATACATATGTAACACAGTGCCATCAATACATTGTTATTATTCTAAACTGAGATCCACTTGAATTGGGACGTGTTAAACGATTTATTACCATTTTATCTTAACTACGGAACATCCATAACATTATCAGTTTTTTTTTAAAACAAGTTGAACTTCAGTGTGATCAAAGTTGAAGAACTACTAAAATGCTGGGATTATTTACTAATAACTTCATCTTAATTGAAAAAAATTTCATTGAATAGCACATTTAATACTTTTTAATTGAGTCCGTTGTATATCTATATGGAAGCTAGTTTGCAAAATCATTAAATTAAACGGTTTTTCTTGCCCGCAGTAAAGATGTGATGTTTTTAATTTTGACAGGAGCTTTTTACTCTCTGTAATCAATCAGGCATAGAGGGTATGATCAAATATCCGATTTCAAAACAATCATTTAACAAAGAATGGGCTTTCTGAACTTTATTTCTTGATAATCTCAATTATATACTAGTGGTGAATTAGATTGAAAATATTGTGCATTTACGAGATTTTCTTTTAACTTTTATCAATCCGTGATAATAATAAATAGTCGCTTTAAAAATATTCTGCTTCTCTAGACTAACAATTTCTGAAACTATTGAGCAGAAACAAAAGCGTGTTGATCAGTTGAATCAGGCTCAACGTGAGGCGGTCAGTGAAATGCATAGACTTAAAGATCAAATGCATAAGGTATGCTTCTGTTTGTTTGTTCTGGTTAGTGAAATTTATTTTTTTTTACAAAAAGATATCATGAATAATCTATTTCTTTGTTTGTTTATTTATAGTTGCAGCAAGAGAATTTAGATAATGTTCAACTGAAGAATGATCTTTCTCGTCTAACTCGTGACTGTGAAATTTTGAAAAAAGAACTATCTGAATTAGAATCTGAGCAACTTCCAGCTGTTCATCGTCGATGGACTGAAGCATGCGATGAACGCAGTCGTATTACTAAGATCCGTGAAGAAAATATTGAACAAGCTACTAGAAAGGTAGGTCATTGAACTATCCTAAATCAGTGTCTTATAAATTTATCTACAGTAATAAATTCTCGCAATTCTTTCCAGAGATGTTTTCTATTATCGTATTGTAAACTTTAGTATTTTGCTGCTTTAAATAGGTTAATGAAATTGGTGAAAAACTGAAGAAGCTGACTGACGCATGTACTTCGGTCAAATTTGCATTCGATTCTCAACCCTTAGAACGATTGAAGGTGATTCTTGAAACTGTAGAAGAACTTCAAAAGAACTTATCTCTTGTCAAATCTGAGGCTGACACCTGTAGTCAAAATATCGAACTCTTAAAAAAACAAATCAACGAACATAAAGTATGTTTAATATTTCAGTAATATAACGTTTGTAGAGATTTTAAGCGTTATGATTTTGTTTTTACTTTCAAATTTTCATCCATTTTAAATTTCGTGGTTTACAACAGGGACTAATCTTCGTCAAAAAACCATTTGAACATCTGTATGAATGGACTATTCTTTTATGCAGAATTTATTTGATATGAAACATTTATTAAAGAGAAATATTTCATTTAACATTGAAAATTACTTCACATCTATTAAGGTTTAATAAAGTATGATTTCTTTTGCATGGATGAAATAACTTTTGAAGTAGTCATGTTTCCTATTATTTCCAGTCTTTTATAAAATTGATAATCACTTAATATTTTCAGGTGGATATATGGTTATTTCGACCTGTTTGAATATATAACTAAATTATTGTAAACCACTGGTGTTATCTGTACTGTTTTCACCGAAAGCCTATATTGCTTCGTTTAAGAACTACCTATTTCATTACTTCTCAACTTATAAATATTTTGTACGTTTTGTAGATGCGTCAGCGAGAATTGGCGGATTGTGTCCAAGTTCGTCAACTACGTTGTCAACTTAGCTTTCTTACAGAACGAACAGAATCCCTTGCCAAAAATCAAATGATTTGTGATAATATTCCTTTATCAGATCAGGATTTAATTAACGAAACTAAACGTTTATCATTAGAAGAGGAAAAACTTCATTCACTTGTAGGTACTTTGTTTCAATGTTGGTCTTTTTCATTTACGTTTGTGTATTTGATTTATAGGACATATTTCGTCGAACCTGCTTACAGTCATATTTTTTTAGCCCACATTGATACTATTGTTAATAAGTAAACTAAATGATCTGACCTATCTAGGTTACTACGTGTTAGTAGCATATCCAAGTAAGCTGATTGATGAGAAGGGACTTGTATACTCGGGATGACTGAGTTATATCTTTTTTGATGCACTATCGATGGATTTTACAATGAATAACTTGAAGCATTTGTTTGGTATTGACAATATTCTTATATAACTGATAATGTCTTCTTTTTGTTACAATTAGTTTGACTATTAATTTCCAAAGAAATATACCAAAATTAATAGATAGTACCGATGGTTTCGCTAAATCCGAATACAGTTCAGACAGCGTTTTGGCCATGGTGTAGGTAAAATGAATTTCTTATTACTGATCGTTTCCACTCAGTGGCCATCATACTTTCTATATAATCTCAAAAGTATGATCACCGTTGTATGTCATTCATAACAATGAAGATCACTCTGAATTGTTACTTTCATACATTTTGGAATAAATATTAAGAAATAAATATCAAATCAAATGAAGATGAATGAGTTTTTCATATAAAATATGTTTTGTTTTTACATAATTACAATATACAAGTTATATTATATTTGTATTTAAGATAGTTTAATGAACTAATGCTTACAGTACTACAGTATACTTTCTTACAAAAAGAAATGAGATTTGACTATATTTAATCATGTACTAAGAAAAACTTAATTTGTAAACTATACAATTTAGAAACAAGACATATCCAATCAACTAAGTGAATTAAACGCAAAACTCTGTTATCTTAATCGTGATTTGAATGAAAAATATACCAACGCTGACAGTGAATATCGTGATATGATGTATCAGCTTAAGGTAAGTATTAGTTCTACATTTTTTAAAATCTATAAATTTATATGAATCTTTTATAAATATAAGGCTGTTTTTCCAATACAAAAGAAATCTCAAAGTTGTATTATACAACCTTTTTATTCTTAACTTTAAAGAACAACCTTTCTGATTGGTAATTGTTATGTCTATAAAATTGTATAAGTGAATAGGAGTATGCTAAATATATGGATAATATAATTATTCATGAATCCAATGGACCTAGAATATGGTTTTTCTCTTGTTATCAGTATTTCATGCTTGTGTTTAGTGGTCTTCAAAAATGTTGATTAATTCATATAAATAAGATAATACTTTTACGCTTAACTTTATCATCCATTCTCATAGACACAATTTTCACACAACAAACATTTCCAATTCGTTTAAAATTCCTTCTCTTTAGTTGGCTAACAAACTTAACAGTTTCTCTAAAGTATATTTATTTATCAGTATAGCGGTTGTGAAGATCATTTAGTTTTTGATTGAGATCACGAACCGATTGATGTTAGAACACCATTGAAAACCTGAAAGCACTGGATGGCGGTTCTGTCCTATTGTGGTACTCCTCAGCAGTGCGCATCCACGATCCCGCCCGCGGGATTCGAACCCAGGACCACTGAGCCGGAATCTAATGGTGTTATTGTCTAACCTCAACCAATCCACGAAATTGCGCGACCATGTTCCATTGTGCTGAAGTAGATACCTGTCTCTACCCGACACGGATTAGCTCCACTGGTCACGGCTATTAAGAGTTTATACTGACGAACATATCAGTTTAAATGTTAGTATTTCACGAAATTCTTAGTATCGATGTGGATGATTGTTTGAAAATTATTTGTTCGTTTGTTTTCTTTTTTCATTATTTAATATTTAGACTTCAGAATTAGCTTGTTCGGATTTGGAACGATATTATAAAGCTTTAGATAGGTATATGATTTTTTGTAAATTTTTGTTGTTGTTTTAAGCTATCCAAATAAATAACCAAAATAGATTCAAATTGTGTTTCTAGTTCCTATACTTTATGATCCAGTACAATACCCGTAATAGTTATTTCTATCCCAAAATTGTGTTTTACTTTTATTACTGAAATTCATTTATGGTGTTTTTGTTCACATGAATAGTTTTACAAGTTTAAGAGTTTACATGTTTGTCTTACTAGTTTAATTTATGTTTAGATGACTATGTGTCTCAAAGAATTAATCGATCATGTATTTCTTTTTTGATGAGTTGATAGATTCTAGGGGAGAACTTGATCATTGGTATTCTTTAAATATACACATCTTTACCTGGGACACGTGATATAATAATGTTGAATGATGTGGTTAGAAATTATCGACTTAAGGTATGAGGGTGAAATCGCGCTTCTGATTGAACTGATGTTTGAATTCTCTTGGTTCATTTCGAGTGATCCTGCCTTCCTTCAGTTACAAGAAAGAGTTGGATATAGTAAACCGTTTTTCCCTTCTCACAGACTTTCATACTTTGCACTATTTAATTTCAAGTTAATTTAACTTGTTTATTTATACTATGAAGAAAGGATTTTCATTGAGTCACGAAACGTCAGAAAATTTATTTTTCTACTCATTGAGATATTATAAATATAGCGTTTTTCTTAAACGTAATTTGCGTTTATTTTTCTTCCCTTTAGAGCGATAATGTCTTATCATGCTGTTAAAATGGCTGATCTAAATAAAATTATCCGAGAATTATGGCGCAGTACATACCGTGGCAATGGTTAGTTACTTGTAATAATTAATTTGAATTAAAGTTGATAAGCTATAACTATATTTGAATGAAATGCTTGATATTGGCAGTCTTTTTAAATACTTATTGGATCTACTAAGTGTATACTTACAACTGATTGGACACTGGATACCGACGAATGACATGTGTGCCGGATCCTTCTTAGTTGTAGATTCAGTTCTATAGACTGAGTTGAAATATGACCACTAGTCTAGGTGATTCAACATTGCGTGCACTACGTTGAGATGTACGATGGTGGTTGGAGGTAGTCGACACGAAACCATAGGTTTCGTGCTATTTGGCACTCATCAGCAAGGTGTACCTGTAGTCATGAGGGAATTGATGCTCCCTGATGAATTCGGTTCCATGTCACCTAGCTTCACAGTCAGAGACGTCTTCACTGAGCTATTCGAGCCGCGACTCACCTGCTCCAGCGCTGAGACTTATTTACAATTGATTGGTCATTCAAATAAATATTGAATAACAGTATTTATTCTTTGGTGATTCAGTTTGTATCATTTACTGAATATGTACGAAACAGTTTTTCTCTGATATCTACTATGCATTTTTGATTGTAAGCATTTTTTTATCTTCTAATTATTGTCATATTCTTTATGGATAGAAAATAACAGTTACCTCGTTTTTGTGGCAAAATGTCGAAGTGATGAACCTGTCGTAAAGCGTAGTTGTGACCTTTCATATGTTCTACTTTGCTAATAGAAGTCTTGTAAACGTGAGGTTTTTCATGACCTATATGTTATGTGAAAAGAATCAAGTAACGAATTCCATGGATTTCCTGCTAGTAGTTTTGCGTGTATAATAGGTAAATTTTGCATCATATATAAATTTTTTTCCGTGTTTTCGTCTAGGATTTTCACGAAAGTGTGTTTTATCATGTCTTATTAATAGTATAAGGACCAAATGTAACCTAGGCTGAAGAAAAACTGTTTAGTCATTATTTCAAAATGTTTCTAATACTAGTCAGGGAAATATGAAATCATGTTTCTTTTCATACCACAGTATGGAGTACTGACTTTTGATGGACTAAGTACTAACCATAATTTATATTTTACTTTTCAGACATCGATTACATTGAGATATGTAGCGAAGAAGATACAGCTGCTGCTTTGAATGTTTGCAGAACGCGAAGAACTTATAATTACCGTGTGGTTATGGTGAAGACAACAACAGGAAGCATGTCAGTTTCTCGGCCGAAGTCAAAAAACAACATTTCATGCAATAACGAAGCCCGTTTAGATATGCGTGGACGATGTTCAGCTGGGCAAAAAGTTCTAGCCAGTTTAATCATCCGTTTAGCACTGGCTGAAGTATTTTGCCTACATTGTGGAGTACTTGCTCTTGATGAACCAACGACAAACCTCGACCGAGAAAATATTGAAAGTTTAGCTTATGCTCTGGTAGAGTAAGTGATTTTCAGCGGCACATAGTATTAGGAATTACGTAGTAATTCGGTTTGAAGTATACGAGTATATTCAAAATAGGTCATTAAAGTTTTAAAACATAAAATTTAGTGTCAAATATTGGTATTACTGTGAAAGTTTTATATTCTGTCTTGGTATTCAGAATTAATATCGGTAAAATTCACTTGATATCGTTTACGTGAATCTTCTCATTGATGTTTAGGACTGCAATTGATCAGTCTCTTATCGGCATTTGTTCATACTGTGCGTATTGCCTCTATATTGCCTTAATTCACGAGCATTATAGGCAAAGATGGATAGTGGCTAGAAGTGGAATCACCAATGGGAAGATTCAAGTAAACAATGCCAAGTGATTTTAAACTTCACCCTATCGCACAAGCAAATGGCTATCAGGACGCAGTAGCTAAGTGGATAGCGAGATGGCGTTGGAAGCGAACAGTACAGAGTTCGAGTGCGAGAACGTAAACTCTGGGATACAGGTACATCCAGCTGACGAGTCCCAAATAGGACGAAAGGTGCGTCCTGGATTCTACTGCTAGCCACTATCTATCTTTGCTTACAATGATATCGGCAAAGTTTATTGTCTATTTATCTTTGTGTTGTCAATTAGTCATATTACTGTATTTCGTACCTGAATAAGGCGAATACTCAAAGCAGGTCTGAATGATAACTTTCATTTTAGTACTATAACCAATTTTTTAATCGGGAAGTAATAAATTTGAATTATGAAAATCCTTTGCTGTTGTATATAAATGAAACCTATCTTGTAATCACTGTGGAAGAACGCACCTCTAATTTAATTAACAGTAGTTTCACCGTTAAGTCTTAAGTAAATAATAACATTACAACATAGTTTTATAAGTATCTTCCAATTATCGCTTGAAATGATTTGCATTAAGAACGTCGAAAATGAAATCCAGTTCATTAAATCATTATGGTAATGTAGTAGTGGTGATTGTAGTGTGGCGTGCGCCACTTATGTTGACTGATATAAGTAGTACGTGACACCAATCAGAAGTGGAATGCCTGGCAGAAGATCGAGAAGATTGGATTGAAGAGAACAGAAATCTAAACAGACAGTTACCGTAGTAACAATGAATCTGAAAGAATCATGAAGCATTTAAAGGACAACTGAAGGGAGATGTGCAAATGATGTACTTAATGTATGGTTTTCATATTTTACCAAAACATGCTGTGATTTTGTATTAAACAATAAGTCGGTTATCTTCACTAAGTCCTCGTTCACTACGACAATATTAGTAGTAGTACTGGAATGATTTATGGAAACTTCATGTGTAATAAATAAACAAATAAATTCTAAAAAATTAAACATATACAGATATTTTTGAAAGAAACTAACATTCCAGTTCATATTGGTTGTATTTATTGATTTGAAGGTGGATAATTATACCAAATGGTTTATTTAAAGATTATTAGTTTTGTATAGCCTTACTGATTGTTTTCATCTGAACAATGTTAAAATTTATAAATAAATTGATATATTTGTAATATCCCAATGTGTAGAAAATTTAAATTCTCTGACGTTTCGTCACTCAGTGCAAGCCACTTCTTCAGAGGATAAATAACCAAATCAAAACTAATCCAGGTTTAAATAGTACAACGGAACAACAAGAATATTATGTGATCAATCAAAAAACAAGTTGAAATTTGTTAGTTCTGTTATGCTTTATTTATGCATATATTAGAAGTAGTGTTTTGTACTGTCAAGTTTTACAAGTGGTTATATTTCAATCTATAACAACATATATAGTCGAACAATATTATTTTCGATTAGATCCTCATCAGGCTTTACTCTAATATACGGTAATATTTATATGTATATACGAAATTATTAAACCAATCAAAGTATTTTATGGGTCAATGATAACAGTGGAGCAGATTACATGAATAGATAAAATAAGTGAAAAGTACAAATTGGTAGTGTGATGACATGTGTGTGATAGAACCGAGCTTTGTAGACCTTCATTATAAGAGAAACCTAGTAAAATGTTTTACAAATAGAACTAGGAAGATATGCTCAGTCGATAAAATAAACACACACTTGGTCTATAGCGCTCATGTAGTAGGCAGAAATAGGTCATTTAAAGTTTTTTTTCTCAAACATACGTTTCACGATCCAATTATCTGAACACTTCTTATTACAGTATTTTATAATTCTTATGAATGTTATTTCAGTGTCTATAGTTTTCCTAATCATTCACCTATTTTCCATTATGTAAGATTGATTCAAGTGTTTATTATTCTTATCACAACTAGTACACCTGTCATCCCATTACGAATTTGTACTTTTAACTTATTATATTTATTCATGTAATCTGTTCCATTGTTATCATTGACCCATAAAATACTTTGATTGGTTTAATAATTTCGTATATACATACAAATATTACTGTATATTAGAGTAAAGCCTGATGAGGATCTAATCGAAAACAATATTGTTTGTATGTTTTTCTAAATCACAATATGGTAATTTTTCACATTCTAATCTATATAGAGTACGCGAACGTCATGATGAGTTTTTACCGGTCGAGTCAATTAAAGGTGTAGAATGCTTTGCCCTTATTTCACTTATTTGGTCGGGAAAATTAAGTTTTCAAGAATGAGAAATTTTCCTTGTCCCTTTGCAATTGTTGCAAGATTTGTTTTGATGCTCTCAGTTGACAAGCCAACAACTTATGCTTGTGTGTAACTGTTCAGTAAAAGATTTCTCCGAGCATGATCAATATTATTTTCTTTTATTTAGAATTATAAAAAACAGGAGCCGTCAGAAAAACTTCCAGTTAATCGTTATCACACATGATGAAGATTTCGTCGAATTACTTGGTAGATCAGACTACGTGGAAAACTTTTTCCTATTATCACGTGATTCACAGTAAGTCGGAATAAATAGATCACAACCAAATTTAATTTTCTTTTTTATAGAGGTTTATCAGAAATTAGAAAAGTCCCTATTGGAGAACATTTTCATTAAAATATACATATTGTTTATTTAAATTATATAAATGATTTCATGAGAACTTCTTACTTGTTAAATCACTATTGTCTAGCTCATATTCCTCTCATTGTATATGAAAAAACAATTAACGGTTATTCTGATAGATGTGAGTACTTTTCTGTTTTATATGATAATTTTATTCAGGTATTATTAGTCTGTAAAGAAGGTAAATTCTGACCGATAAACTAAAAATGAGTGCAGACGTGTGTAGGTTCATAGTACAGTGGACCATGTTGTTGATCAGCTTAAATTAAGCCTACAGGATCTCCTAACCATCTAAATTATGTGAATACAATGCAATCCTAAAATAAGCTAATAGTGAGTTGATATCCACAATAATTATATTTTTGTTATATCCCGATGAGTAGGAAAATTGTACTTCTGACGTTTCGTGACTTAATTTAAATCAATTTTTCAGAGTAAATGAATGATTTAGTTCGGTTATTTATTTACTCTAAAAATGTGGCTTACATTAAGTCACGAAACGTTAGAACTACCATTTTTCTACTCATTGGGATATAACAAAAAATATTTATTACTTACTTCCTACCCAATGCTCAATTTATTTGAAACTATCAAGTCAACCATCGGCATTGATACCTATAAATTCATAATAAGGTCATTTTTTGTGTGTTTTGAGTTAGCGATTGTTAACACATATTTGACATTTGAATTAATTTTTGAAACCCATGCACCAATAAAAATGTGAATAAGGAAGTTTGGATCAGAATCTATGCTTAAGTACAAAATTGTTATCTACAAAAGACATGTATAATTCAAGGTATGCCTAATATGATAGCATGTTAGAAAAGAAGTGAATAGCCACAAATAAACACGGAAGTATTGTTTAAATAACTTTGGATTTCAGGAAAAAATGAAGCGTTCCTGTAGATTCCTGCATATTGCAGTAAGAAAAAAACAGTGTGACCTTTAAGAGCTTCTCTTTAACTTTCAAGTTTTTCCATTATTTTATTAGTGAATATGAAACACGAACATTTAATTGTTTATTGTTTTTAACCCGAAATCGTTATTCACAATAAACTAGATGGGTAAAGTGTTATGAACAAGCGATTTAATAGACAGTAATATCCGAAACAAACTAAGCAATGTGATTTCAGTATGAATCGAAATGAATTAAACAGCGCATTGTTACATACAATGTTATATAACACACTTAGAATCTACAAATATCTAAACGAAGCAAATATTTTGAAGTTGATACAATTGAATGTTTAAAAATGCTTGATGTATAGTCATGTATAAGCCCAGTTAGCCAACAGAAGATGATTTACATGAATCTCGTTGATGCAAACTAGGAGAGATGTACATAAGTTTATTCAAGGGGAGGAATGTTAATGATGGAAATCTAGGCTAAAATCCACTTGATATTCGTTGAGTTATGCTGAGTTTTAATTAAGATTTCCAGTGTGAGAAAACGAACCGCGGATTCAAATATGCTATTTTTATAAATGTATGTTGTATCCGCATTATAGTTAATCAAGCATTTAGTAGAAATTCGGTAGTGAGACACCATTTCTGTATTCGTTTCATTGATAATTGGGAGAATTTATGAAGAATTAAATTCCTGTTATACCAAGTGCTAAATTTCGGTAGAGTTCTACGGCAAAACCGATGAACAGTTAATCGACCCATTGTATTTTGATGTTAGGGAAATAACAAAAACTGTATATTATCATTTATTGAGAAGAAAGTTATCATTCACCAACCCAGAGTCAATAGCCTATGGAGTTAAAGTTGACATTTCAATCAAGTCATTGTTTGTAAGTAATACTCATCGCAACGAATATGGTTTGTTATATATTCCTCGAAATTAAAGAAATACCGTCTAATCTAAAAGTGGTCATACGACTTTGTGAACTGTCATCTCTAGATTACACAGATGTTTTGAAATGGCGACAATAAATCACCATCCTATTGCCCAGCCACCTTCATCTTGCAAAATAAATCAAAAAGTGTACTGTCTCTGGGGTTCATGATATCGTACTTGCAGTGATGACTTCTGTGGAAGTATATTGATACTCAAGCGAGTTAATTGAAATCCACCTTCCGTATTCCTTACTCATCACTACACCACCGTCGGATCCCATTCCAAACAATGCATCAAGTGGTTTTGCGTATGCTATGTGCTCGACATATGGTCCCATGTCTGAAAATTGGATCGAAATTAGCAAAATATGATTTACACCATTTGTAATAAAATGTAGGTTGAGCCTATGTTAAGTGATAACATGTTTGGTTTGAACAAGTACATTTGAAACGTTCATATACAACAACAGCCTGTGATATCAGGCCTAATTACCTAGTGTGACCAAGTAACTGATTGTGTACACTTAATTTGTATAAGACAGTTTAACAGTTATTGAATCCTATCTCTGTTAAACAATTTTAAATATTATGAGCTGGTGAAACGAAATGTATCTCATTTAGAACACGGATATAACTAGAGAAGTTGTGGAAGTGGATTCCGAACTTTAATAGAGTTATATATTATATTATTATTATTATCAGCTTTATTCAATATTATATTTTTGGTACAATATAGAATTCTCAGCGCAAAGTATTTCAAGAAGTTTCCGTTTCTTTCTTCTTGGTCGGCCCTGGCGATAAATATTGAGTGATCACCAGTTAGATGTTAGCAGTTCAGTAAATGAACATCTGAATAATGTGCATTCTTTTTGTTGTATATTGCCAGCAACCACATTGTCTCTTATTGAGTTTTTTGTAACTCTGACAACGAAAGGCTGTACACTTTTCAGAAACGCAGTAGAATAGGTTATGCGATTAATAAACATAATGATATATTAAAACAAACAAAAATAGATAACTTGTTGAAATATATGGATGGCAGGAACAGGTAGCCCAGATGCTCAAGCAGACCGCTCTTCATTATGTTATTCCTGTTTTGTGGTCAGGAAGACGGTTTAAATCGTAATTATATAAAATGTGATACTGGTCAACTGCATTTTAACACTCTTGTTAGTTACGTATTTTGAGAAGAGGATGGGATTGCAAATCATTTTTCATCTAAACAACATCTCTAGTTGTAAACTTGAATTTATATAAATACTGTTTTTCATAAACAATCTAACATAATGTAGACTAAGATGGCTGGGAAAATGTATTTCTGTTTATCATCGAGAATGAACATTAGCATGCTATGAATTCCGATTTTGTGCTGGATGATTTGCGATTGTTTTCAGGTAACGAGTTTGATAACTCCAATGCGTACTCAAGGTTATACAGATAACAATTCATTGTGAAGTTGCGAAGCAGATCACAAAGATGAGCACAAGTTTAGTAAATGTTTTTTTCTGTGGCAAGTTTCGCGCATGCAATTCCTATGTACTTCGTAATGAGTTTGATGACATAAACGTTTTCTTAGTATCACGTCTAGAGTGAGAAATGTAGTAGGACAATATACCACTTTTTCAATCTCAAATCATTTTAAAAAGTATAAGTAAAGACAGTTGTACATAAACCACGTTATTCAAATGAGTTGTTCAATTATTAACTTACTTAACGTTTTACAAAGCATATCCAAGCTATTGCATTTTTGATGCTTATAGATGTAGAAGTTAGAATACATTCAACAAAATGGTAAATCAGTAGAATTGTAGTTGAACAGCAGCATGTAATGGGTCACCTTTTCCTGATAGAAGCTTGAGGTGCTGTAGATAGGCCATAAAACATTTCACCTAATTGATCTAAAAGTGTTTCTGTTCAGGAATATTAACATCAGAGACCATTTAGACGCTAAACTGATTTTGAACGTGGAGTATGTCCCTTAAGTACTAATTACTACATAGGCGATTATTATAAAAATATCTGGATATGTTGCATCATTAGTTCGGAAAGCCAGCAGAATATACACCTAGCTCAACCATGTTCATCAGTAATGATCAGAACATTTTCACTTGTCTGATCGAATGTGTCACTTCACATTGAAAATCGATAAAAATTATACTCCATAGGATTTCTTCCGTGAAAACTATCGTGTTGGTAAGGATTAATAGAGGAATTTTAATTCATTGAACCGAGAAATAATCTTCAAAAGATCCGAGTCAAGAAATTGTCACCAATTGGAAATGTAAAGGTTAAATAGTTAGGCGACAGAAAAATAAAATTTATCTTTCTGTTAAGTTACAGGGAAGTGGGTATTCACATAAATAAGCATTGTATAGATGAAAATTTCACCTAATATTTGAATGGCTAAGTATTTCATTTTTGAACATACAGTAAGTATATTAATATTTTACAGGTATTATTTTCATTGTAGTCGAAAGTAACTAGCAGCTAGTGCAATAAATTGTGTTTAGCTTTTAATAAAACTAGTTTATTTGTATTGGAACTGAAAATAATCGATTTCGATGACTGACAATATAAGGAAGTATGTCAAAGTATTCATTGATTCAACACATTTAATATGAACCCACCTAGGTTCTGTAAATTTACAATGCTTATGTCCCGAAATGTCACCATCACGATAGAGTAAGCAACTTTTTCTCCTGTATTCATTTTGTAACTGTCTGGATAGATAGCATATGCTGTAGGCAGTGATAAAAACATGACCAACTGAGGCACTAAATTGATCAGTACTGAAGGGAAACAAATTGATTCAAAACATTGATAAGTTTACTTTCACAAGATATTCAAAACGACAAAAACTAACAGTTGTTGTGAAGACTTAGGAAACATCTAAATTCAATATTTCACAACGAAGGCCAACGAGAAATTTTACTTGGTGTTTCAATCGACATCCTATGTTTACGCAACATTCAATGCTTCAGATATTATCATATGGTGCAGAGTGTACCTTATTATTATTCCATCAATTTTCACGCTTTCCGTGAGCTTATTCAACTAGGAGAGATCTATTCAAATAGATGGGATATCCTAACATTTTTTTGACTAGATTTTAAACGTTGGAGTATTTACCCGTTTCATAATTAAGCATA